AACTGCTATTACATTTAGCCTAAAAAGGCCCTCATTCAGGTAACCTTTTCCTACATACACATCATTCTTATTTAGTACAACACTATTAGAAACAAAAATACATTTGAATCCATTCTTGACAAGAAGTGAGGTAGACACAAGATTCTTGCGAATTTCTGGAACATGGAGAACTTTGTTTAGAGTCACAATTTTTCCCGACGTCATCTTCAACGCAATCTTGCCAACTCCTTCAATTTTGGCTGTAGACGAATTTCCCATGAAAATTGTCTCGTCGAGTCCTGCGGGGACATAAGAAGAAAATAACTCCTTATTAGCACAAACTGGCGGGTGGCTCCAGAATCTATCCACCATTCTTTAGGATTTCCTACCAAGTTGCATTCAGACAACATGGCACACAAGTCCTCCATTTTGTCAACATTTTCAACCATGTTAGCTTGATTCTTCTTCTTCTTCTTTTGTACATCATTCTTTGGTGCACGACAGTCCACGGCCTTATGTCCAGATTTTCCCATGCAAAAACTGAAATTAAACATAGATGGAGCTTTTACGAGTAGATTTAAACAATGAGGGATATGAGGTTTTTTTAGAGACTCCAGTGGGGAATGGATTATAGGTTTTAGTAAAAAGACCAATGGCACCTCCCCACTATACATGGAACTTGAGGCATTATGCTACGAATTAAAACTAGCAGTAGCTTATAACTTGACGAACCTCCAAATTGAGGCGAATTCAACCTCTATACCATCATTAATCGAAACTACTAATTCTCCACCATATAACACACTTATTTTCAATTGCAGGTACTGGCTGAAGATGTTAGGGAATCCACCAATCCTACACAACTTCAATGAAGGCAACAAGATAGCACATGAACTAGCACAATATGGAGTTCGGCAAGCCAACGTCTACTATAGTCATATATATTCAGAAGTCCCGGACTACCTTAGAGATGCTGTGCAAGCTGACAAATAGGGTATTAGTACTACTAGGATCAACACTACTAATGTTGTTGTTTTAAATAATTTGGCTATGCTTGGAAACTCTTTAATGTCTTCTTTTTGTTGTAATAATATTTCTACTACCATGCCTACATCTGCTCCCAATGGGAGGACCAGGCCATATAACCCTACAACTTAATGGATAAATAAAGTTTCTTCGTTACAAAAAAAAAATGAGAAAGAAAAGGAAAACCAGCAAGGAGAAAAAAAGAAGAGTAGAAAAAGTAGAATGAAAAACAGGAGAAGAAAGGAAGAGCTTAAATAAAAAACTTCTTCCGTGCCCATCAAGGATCGAACCGAAGCATCAAACCCTTTGTTTTTGACCATGGGTGCCAACTGCATTGCATAGCAAATCTTGTCAAAATGTGTACAGGAAATACATTTAATCTATTAAGTAGGATGGGTTCACGTGCACCACTTTCCTCAGTAATTACTTGATCAGCATGTAATTGAGTCTAATTGGAGGGGGTGTAATTACACTCTCCAATTCTTAAGGGGAAGGTGAGAATTGGTGGTAATTACACTGCGTAATTACAATGTTGCATTTTAGTTTCTTTCCTTTTTGTTTTTACTTTAATTTATTTCTATTATTTAATTTTTTAATTTTATTTTTACTTTTTAATTTCTTTTGAAATTTTAAAATATGTTTTTCTTTGTACTTTATTTATCGTTTATTTCTCTATATTTACTTCTTGCGATTCCATGTAATTGCTTATATTTCATGTTATTTATTTATTTTCTTATTCTATTTTTTGAAACTATCCCTCCTACTATTAGAAATAACGGGTCATTAATAAACTTGGCATATAATGAGTGATGCACTTAAAGTAAAATTTCGTTGTTGAATGTGGTTATAAACTTACCATGTTTCCTAATCTTAAGTTGCAGTGAAACTTACTTATTATTATGTTGGAATTTGACATATGTTAAACTATTTTTATTTTTGAATTTTGAAATTGTGTTATATTCATTGTTCCAATTTACCTGTTTTAGTAGTATTGGCTCATATTGCATGTTGTTCATTTTTAGTTAGAATTGATAGATTAGTTTTGTCAAACATTTGAATAATGTTATGACACTATATTTATAAATATTAATTTATTTTATCAAACATGAATTCCATGGTGTTCTTACAAAACGTATATTTTTAGTTTTGTAAGTATCTAAACTAAATATTATTAATTTTAAAAATATACTATATAAATTATTTTTATAATATTAGTTATAAATATATGATTACTAATTAATGTATAATCTAATTGTGTAATTACACTTGTGCAACCAAATAATAAATTTGTAATTACACTGTACAAATAAACACGTCATAGTAATTACATCAATTACAATTACATGGTGCCTTTCCAAACGGACTTTTAAGTTAAACCCGCCTCTGTCTTTTCGTGTAATCAAGAAGGGTCCTTAATTCTTAACCGACCCAATTCGTAAACTTAGACCCAGCTGGCGACCCGCCGAAACATATAAATCAAAAGTAAAGCGGCAAAATAAGAATCCTTAAACCCTAAACCCTAGTTTCTGCCAAAGCTTTCCCCCTTCACTCTGCTCATTCACCTGTAGCTTTGTTTTAAGAAAGAGGCTATTTAAGTTTTGCCCCAACTTAATTTCAATTCAAAGATAACGAAAAATGTCATTTGATGGGAGTTTTCGGGTGGATTATGAGCTGCAGAGGTTCCTTTCTCGGTGCCCTGAGCTTGCTTCTATATCCCAATTCGATTACTTATTAAAGAAGGTACCCAAAATCTAACATAACCAATAAAATTTTAAATATATTTAAATCACGCTGTAGCATTTGTATTCAGCACCTTTTGTCTTGAGTATGACAAAATTTCCAACTTTTATTGTTTATAATAGGGTGATAAAGTTACAGAAGAAGAAGTGGTGAATGCTTTGGGACAACTTATGATACATCCAAAGTATACAATCCCTTTGGTCGGATGTTTTCGTCCGCTTGCTCGGAAAATTGTGGACAGAGCTATTTCCTTGCTTAGATTGGTGCCCAGTTTGAGGTGCAACGATGATGGTGACTTGATGGAGGTCGACCAAGCAGACGATTGTAGAGAAGTTGAAGGTTTAGATATTGAAGATACTATTCGTATTATTGATGTTTATGCTAAAAGAGGGAAGGGCTTGAACCTTCATGAACTAGCTTGTCTGGCATTTTGTAGAGCTCATGATTTGGTCCCTTCATTATTGAGGTAAAGTGTATTCTTCCATTTGGTCCCTGAATTTAATGAAGATTGTAATTTCTTGATCAAAGTTTCTGTTGCACAATGGTACCCAGTACCCACAGTGTTCGAGTGCTACCTTATATAAGAGTTTTTTGTTTAGCTGTGCTTCAGTGATGAAGGATAATATTGCATAAGTATGAAGTGCTTATGCATTTCTGTCTCATTTGTTAGAGTAACAAGTGTTTTCCTTGCCGCAGGTCTGTATTGGGTTATTTTGAGTTTGCTCCCCCTCCATTCGAAGGAATTAGACAGAGAAAATCAGTTATGGAGGCAGTTGTTCTGGTATTTTGTTCTTAATATCTAATTTTTGCTCCATAACTTTCTATGTAATTCTCATACTGAATTTGTGTTCCTGCTGTCTTGTCTTTGAGAGCTAATTCTTGACACCATACCTCTCTTCTGTTTAATTCTTACTGCTTGGTCGTGACATGCACAGAAAGTCAGAAACTGCAGATGTTAGATTGCTCCTGAGCATTAACGATATCAAGTGAATTCTAACTTTAAAGTGATCACCAACCTGTCTCTTGTCTTTCTTGATTGTACAAATTTCTGATATAAACCTAATTTGAACTGATAGAGGAGTGTGCCATGACCTCAACTACGCGTATCATTTGTTGTATCTGGGAATTCTAGAATTATATGAGTTGCTGTGTAATGGGTTAATAAAGACTTTAAATTTGGCTTGTGTATGATATAGGGCATGTGATAGTTGTGTCTGTAGCCTTGCTACGGCGGACAGTGTTACAAAAGAAACAGATAAATAAAGGAGGAAAAACTCCAATTTCCAACTAGAAGTGTGAGAATAATTCATAGGTGGGTGATCAATGCATAAAATAACACTTCCTCCATCCCTAGCGAAGTCCATAGTCTCTGGCCAACTTTGGACTCTAGCTTTTTCCATCCTGGGCTTGAACTGGTGCATGCCTAGCTCCCCTCTTGATTTTTGACGACTTGGCAGAGAAAAGGAATGCTAAGTCCTCCCTCTCCATGTGGAACACTATTCCTGCAGCTATCTGCTGGGTAATTTGGAATGAAAGGCACACTAGAATATTTGAAGGCAAGAATGACAATATACTTAAGCTCAAACAGTATTGTATATTCATGTTTAGTGTTGGTGCTGCATGGCTATGGCAAATGTGTTAAGAGCCTGAAGCCATCTTTTTTTTTTTTTTGATAATGATAACAAATTTTATAAGTGAGTAAAATATTTACAAGAGATTGTGTGAGCCACAATCAGACCCTAAAAGATCTGAGACTGCCTAGCCTATTCTGTTCGATTACATTTCTTCTAGCAAATCTAGTAAAGAATGTACGTCCTCCCTATAGCTCTCTTTGCACCAAAAATGAAATAACAAAAAACAGTTAAGCTTAATTTTCTGGTAAGAGCTAGGCCTATCTTCAAAAACTTTGGCATTCCTTTCCTTCCATATGACCCACCAGATGCAAGTAGGGATTACTTTCCACCATTTCTTCTGTTTAATATTTGCCCCTCTATTGTTCCAGCTACTGAGAAGAGATGCAGTGTTATTGGGCATTGACCAGGAGATTGCAGCCAAATTAAGATAAATATCAAAGTTGAGCAGTGACGGGGCAGTGTATAAAGAGATGGGACATTGATTCCCCATCTTTGCCGCATAGACTACACCTAGCATGTAGTTGAATTCCTCTCCTAATAAGATTATCCAGAGTTAGAACAGCTTCCCTTGCTACTAACCATGTGAAGCATAAGACTTTTGTGGGCGCCCTGACCCTCCAAATATTTGTTTCCATGGCCATCCTTGAGTAGGATTAGGAGTATTGTTGATGAAATGATAAGCAGATTTCACCGAAAAGGATCCAGATTTGTGACCCTTCCACATTAAAGCATCTTCCTCTTCTGTGAGACCTTGGAAGGCTTCTAAGGTCTCCCAGAAATCTGCCACACTTTGCAATCCCAGTCATTTAAGTTCCTTCTGAAAACAATGTTCCACTCATGTGTGGATTTTGCTTCTACTACTGAAATTCTTGGATTCGCAACAATGTTATATAAATCTGGAAACTGATCTTTCGGAGGAGTGTGCCCAAACCAAGTGACATCCAGAAGAGAACTCTTCTTCATTTCGAACCTTGATACTAGAATAATCAGCAATGAACCTTCTTTGTCCCATAATTATTTTCCAAACACCAACTCCATGTGGGGATGACACTGGTTTGGTACACCAAGGTCCTCCTTGACCATACTTCTCTTGCATCACCCTTCTCCATAAAGTTGTTTCCTCCAAATTATACCTCATTAACCATTTTGCAAGGAGACTGTTTTTGTGTGCTTTTAATGTTTCTGATACCTAAACCACCCTGCCTGCTTAGAACACTAAAGAGTATCCCATTTGACTAAGTGAATAGCCTTTTTTTCTCACTATTTCCTTGCCAGATAAAATTCCTTCTTAGGGAATCAATCTTTTTCCTCACCTTAGTTGATATTGGGAATAAGGACATCACATAGGAAGATAGTACATCTAAGACACCATTAACCAGATTCACCCTGCCACCAAGTGACAAGTATTGACTCTTCCATCTTGAAAGTCTTTTTTCACTCCTTTCAATAACCCTTTGCCAGATTTCTTGCGACTTGTTTTTGGAACCCACCTTGAACCCCTTGATCCAGCCATTTGACCTTGCAGTGTTGATCATATGATTCAGCCCTTCCATTGCCATCAGAAACAAGAAGGGGGATAGAGGATTCCCTTGCCTTAACCCCCTTTCTGAAGAGAAAAAACCTTGGGGTGAGCCATTAATCAAGATAGTTAATTTTACAGTGCTAAGATAGAAACGGATCCAGTTAATCCACTTAGTTCCAAAGCCCATATCAGACATTAATCTCAGAAGGAACTTCTAGTTGACATGGTCGTAGGCCTTCTCTAAATGCAGTTTGCATAGAACACCTGGAATTTTGCTTTGAGTCCAGAGTCAACTACCTCATTTGCAATCAGTGAAGCATCCATGATTTGTCTTCCTTTTATGAAGGCCATTAGTGAGCTTGTTAATTACAGTGTTTGGCCTCTAAGTTAAGACTTTGGCTATAATCTTGTAAACACTTCCAATCAAACTAATAGGCTTGAAGTCTTTAAGTTCTCTAGCCTTATTCTTCTTTGGAATGAGAGCCACATAGGATGCATTTAAACTCTTCTGAAAGTATTCATTAGAGCGAAAATTCTTTAGGGCCAACATGACATCTTCCTTGAATGTTGGCCAACATATCTAGAAAAAACGCATGGTGAAGCCATCAGGTCTTGGTGCTTTGTCTGAAGCACATGACTTGAGGCATTCCACCACTTCCTGTTCTTCAAACTCTCTTTGTAACCATATACTTTCCTCCTCTGTTAAAAAGTTCACCCTATCAAGATTGTAATTTGGCCTCCATATTTCAGGTTCAACATAAACTTCTGATAGAAATTTATGATTTCCTTCTTGATCTCTTCAGAGTTTGTGGTAGTTTGCCCTTGTACCTCCAGCTTATCTATGTGGTTATATCTCCTATGTGCATTAGCCATTTTGTGGAAGAGCTTCGTATTCTCGTCCCCTTGTTTCAGCCATAAGGTTCTAGACCTTTGTCTTCATGCTGTGTCTTCATACTTGGCTAACTCCTGAATCTCTAACATGAGGCCAGCCTTTTCCAATAATTCTCCTTTAGTGAGCCTTCTGGTTTCTTGAATTTGATAAAAAATTGAGATGTTACTGGGAACTGTCTTCTTTCTTTTCTCTAGACTGCCATACTCCTCCTTATTCCGCTCTTTTAGCTTAGTTTTGAGGAGCTTTAATTTGCTGGCTAGCACAAAATTTGGCCTGCCTACAATCGCAAAGGAGTTCCACCAAGTCTGCACTTTTAAGGGAAACTCTTCAACATCCAATTTTCAAACTTAAAATATGATTTGTTAACTTCCCATTCCCCACATTTCAAAAAGATTGGTGTATGCTCAGATATTACTTTTGGGAGAAGGCTCTGTCTGATAAAACTAAATTCCTCATCCCACTCCATGGAGCAGAGAAATCTGTCTATTCTAGAAGCACATTCAGAGTTGTCACCTTGGCTCCAGGTGAATTGGCCCCCCGGAACTGGAGGATCAATCGATTTCAGTTCTTCCACAGTCTGAAAAATCCGCCATTGCTCTACTGTATGAGCTCCTATTTTTCCTTTCATTTGCAAATGATTTCCTTTTTGCATTACATTCTTTGAAATGTTTTACAGCTTTTGCTTGTATTTATTTTTCAGCATTTTCTTGGCTCACTTCAATATACATTACCTTATTACCTTATAAAAAAATAAAATAATACTACCTCCATCCCATTTTATATGCCCTTGTTTGACTGGGTAACGAGTTTAAGATAGGAGAGACTTTTGGAACTTATGGTTTAAAACAAGTCAGAGATATTTGTGAGGGGTGGTGGTGCTATAATCTCATTAAAAGGTATAATGCCAGTTTTAAAATTAATTTTTTTTGATAAGTTAAATAATTTTATCAATTTTAAAGTTTAATTATTTTTAAATATTGAAAGGTGTTGTTCCTTTTAGACAAACCAAAAGTGAACAAATTTTTTGACAAAGGCAGTGGCTTTTCAGTATGGCAGTTTTTGAAGTAGGGAAATATTATTGTCTTCGTCGTGGTTTCAATGTCCTTTCCTAGAGTCCTTAGTTATTTATAATGATGCATTCGTACGAGACAACTGTCATTGTGGCTTGAATTTAAATGATAAGGACACATTCTTAATAGACAACAATCATTGTGACTTGAATTTAAAGGTACAATGTTGCTGGTTACTGAGACTTGGCTTGATTTCTTCTAGTGTTTTTTTCTTTTTTGCCTTAGTGTTACTTGAATTTGTTCTTTCTCTTATGGTGAGTATCTTAAATTTTTTATGAAGCAGGTGAGTGTTGCTCACTTGCTTAATTTCCTTTCTTGTTGCATTTAAGACAGTCAAGCTTCCAACCATATTCTTGATTACCTATTGTTGAGCCCCTATGTTATTTTCTTAATAAGGTAAATAATTTTATTAAAAATTGGGGGAAACCCCGTATACAAGCAGTATACAAATATAAGAGAACCTACACCAAAATCTGGTTCTCAACAAAAGAGATTCAATCCTCTATACAAATAGGGGCCTCATGAGTACACCAAAAAGAAACTAGAAACAATAGACTTTTGCAATATTTGCAGCCCCTATTCAAGAAATAGAATAGTTGATTACTAGATATTGCATATTGTATCCCCCGCCCCCTCCGAAGAGAGAAGACCAACGAATGTCAGATGCAAAGCCCTGCACCTCATTAAGATCGGCTTTTTGTAGCAAAATATTGATGCCATTAGTTTGATAAATAGAGAAATATTATGGTTGTAACTAGGATTTAATGGTGTTTGCTGGTATTCGGATCGTTTGTGCTGTTCGCTTTGAAACTGGTTGTTGAGTGTGAATGGTCACCTGGTCTTCTCTATGTACAAGACCAGTCAGTAGTTTGAGCTTGATCCAAGTGCAATCAGTTTTTTAAGATCAGAACTTTCGAGTTTGGGTTAAGTATCGAGGAACTCTAAGCAGAGTTTCAAGGATCTACATTTGTTTTATGACCCGTGAAAGGTAGTCCACGTGGTGAACGGTAGTTTGGCTATGAGTCGTTCTCTGTCTTGGTGAATGGTAGTCCATGTGGTTTCTTTGGTAGTTCGAGATGTATGAGACAAGGTGATCCACTATCACCTATGTTGTTCATTTTGGTGATGGAAGCACTGAGCAGGATGATGGATAGAGCTGTGACAGGGGGTTGTCTAAGGATTTTTTTCCTCTTCGATTAGTGGGCAAAACTCTATAAGGGTATCTTATCTTTTGTTTGCGGATGACACCTTAGTTTTTACTGATGCAGACAGTTCTCAGTTGTCTTTTTTGAGACAAGTGTTTGATATGGTTCGAGGCAGTGTCATGCCTAAAGATCAATTCAGAAAATGTGAAATTATCCCGGTCGGCGAGGTGGCAAACATACAGGAGCTAGCACAGGTGATGAATTGCGTGATTGGGGCCCTTCCTATTAGTTATTTAGGTCTCCCACTAGGAGCACCTAATAAGGACCAAGCAGTTTGGAATCCAGTTATTGAGAGGGTTGAAAAGAGGCTAGCAGGTTGGCAAAAGAGGTATTTGTCCACAGGAGAAAGGAAGTGTTAATTAAGAGCACTCTTTCAAGCATTCCTACTTGTTTCATGTCCTTGTTGCATGCCCCAGCTAATGTTGCATGCAAGTTAGAAAAGCGACTTTCTATGGGATGGTGTAAATGGGGAGAAAAAATTTCACTTGGTTAATTGGAAGATTGTTACTACACCGAAATGTTGGGGTGGGCTTGGGATTAAAGACCTAAGGTTCTTTAATAAGGCTCTGCTAGGAAAATAGCTATGGAGGTTTGGGTTAGAGATGGCGGACTATGGAGGAACATATTAAAGTAGCGGGATGATTTTAAGGAGAACATCACATTTAGAGTGGGGGATGGGAGGTGGATTAGTTTTTGGGAGCATAGATGGTGTGGGGACAACGCTCTGAGGATCGCTTTCCCGAACATGTACAATATTTCAAGCCAAAAGAAGTTGCCCATCCATCGATTGTGGAGTCTTCAAGGAGAAAAGTGCAATGAGATGTCAGGTTTAGAAGGAACTTGCAAGACGGGGAGGTGGAAGAATTTCAACACTTGCTAGAACTGCTTCATAACCAAAGAGTCTCACAAGATAGTCTTAATGCATGGAGATGGGGTGCCGGGGAAAGTGGTAGTTTTTCTGTTAGGTCCTACTATGAGAAGCTTCTTAAAAGGGAGGAGCCGGTCTTCCCACATAATTCGGTGTGGATTCCTAAAGTGCCGAGAAAGGTGCGTTTCTTCACTTGGCTAGCTACAAGAGGGGTGATATTGACGGCGGAGAATTTGAGAAAGAGGAAGATCACCTGTGTTAGCTGGTGCTTCATGTGCAAAGAGTCGGGAGAAGTTGTGAATCACCTTCTCTTACATTGCCGGATAACTTCCTATTTGTGGGGGGAATGTTTTAGATGGTTTGGTACTCTGTGGGTGATGTCGGGCACGGTAAAAGACACCATGTTTAGTTGGGCCTTCAGAAGACGGAGGAGAAGATGCAAGCCATGGAATGTTGCTCCATTGGCACTCATGTGGGTTGTGTGGACTGAGATGAATATGAGAGCTTTTGATGGTGTAGAAAAATATCTTGTCCTCTCGAGGAGTAGCCTCTTTTCCCTTATTTATTTTTGGTGCACCCATGATGTTCCTATTTGTACGGAAGGTTGGGTGTCATTCGTAGAGAACCATGCCTTATTGTAAGGTGTTCTACTTTCTGGGTATACATCTTGTATACGGGTTCGTCTGCCCTTTTTAATAGAAGTTATTACCTTATCAAAAAAGAAAAGAGTTGGCTGACTACTAGTAATTGTGTTGAAACATTGTCTTGATAATTTCTTTGGAGCACTCTTAGGGAAGCTATCAAGCTGTAGGCTTGATGTTTGCCAATCTTGGATTCATTGCAAGAGCTAGATGGTTAGGGGTGAGAGGAAGAGGGACAAATCTTTATATGTTTCCCCACTCGTGGATCATCTCGAATGAAGTTAGAATGCATCCTTTCAGAAGGATGCTGATTTTGGTTTTTGCCGGAGTATACAAGATTCCAAGTTGTATAGTGAACATGAAGGATGTCCATTGTGAAAACTTGGGTGGATAACTTCTATTACTCCCTGTGCCCTGGATTATGTCTCACTTCCACTTGAAGTTCAAATTATGGAATCTTGACTAATTTACCCTAACACACTTTGTCTTGTGGAACTAAAGCAGTAACAATTTGGTAGCACTTTTATCTTATTTTAGCTAGTGTGTTCGATCTTTTTGAGAACCGAGAAACCCTGGAGGTCCAGAGGCGCACAGTTCGAGATGGGAGGTGTGTGTTGGGGGGGGGGGGTAATGGTTCTGCAGTTTTAAAAAACGTACTGTATTTCTCTTGAAAATGGTAAAAAAAAATATTAACCAAAGTGATCTTTAAAAAAAAAATATTAACCAAAGTGATCTTAGGACTTATAAGTGGGATTCTTTTCGGTGGTTGTTATCATTGGAACCATCTACTTGAGAGAAGATGCATTTGATTTCTTTATTGTCCAATTAAATTTCAATCTTGCACTTTGAGTTTGTTTGTCTTAATATTCACTTTATGCTTAATATTTTTCTTGTCTCTGAAAGTTTTTGGGAACCCTTGCTGGTAATGAGATATATGTGTGGCAATACATGCTGAAACTTACCTATTGGGTGCTAATTATTATTGTGGCAATACAGAGCGTTTAAGATTTTGTAGATCTAGTCTAGGATGGCTGCTAGTTGTCTATTGGGCTTTACATTGTTTCCTCATTGTTCTGAGTTAGGGAGTTAAATCGAGTACCTTAATTATTATTGTAAGCTCATTCTCTTGTGCAAGTCTATGATGATAAGTTGCTGTTAGTCCTCGACAATGTGGTAATGATTTCTCCATTGAATTCAAAATTTGTTGTTTTCTTCTCTCCATTTTTGGGGATAAGTACGATTTTAACCCAATTTAGCATAGCAAATTTTATAAGCTGCTATCTAACTACTCTCTTATTAGGATGGAGCTCGTTTGCTGAATGTAGTACGAGTTTCATATCGTCTCCTTCTAGCAGACCCTGAAGATTTTGCCACGAGATGGAACTGGTCTTGCTTTTTCGACATTATAAGTCTGGGTAAAAATGAAGAGCCAAATAGAAGTGCGTTTGACTTAAGATGGTATGGGATAAAAATACTGTCGATAGTTTTCAAGTTAAATGACCAAGCTATAGCAAATTTCAGTCGCTGTTCTCAAGAAGCATATTGCTGTTCACTGAGGTAAGTTGTTGTCTTCTAATTCGTTGAGTTAATGTTACATTTTTTAAAGAGACAAGTGTATCAACTGCTTGATGTAAGTCACAGCAAATCCTTAGTTGGAAAAGTCTACTGGAATTGGAGCTATATATTTGATACCGGATGCTGCTAATTTCTTGGTTAATGCTCTAGCTCGTGGTAGGAATAATATTATGACTTCAGAGAGTGATTTTTTCCTTCTTTCTGGATTCATGATATTCTTCCATGCTGAGATTTTTTTGATAAGTAATCAATGATTTTATAAATGATTGCAGTAAGCCAGTGCGAGAAAATGTAACTACAGATTGTGCAAATCTAAAATTGCATCAAGATCCTGTATAATTACTAGGTTGCACCAAAAAGCTAGCAAAAAAATACATCTTTGTTTAAGGCTATGTAAATTTCTCCTTTGGCCTTCAAAAATTCTGTCATTTATGATACGAGTATATGCTATGCAGCATTTTATCTGATTATTCGTGGATCTGAATCTTCTTATACGTCTTCTCACGTTTGAATTGATGATTTCAAATCTGCAGCTGGAAAGAATATTGTCAGGATGGAGCACTGGAGAAAGCAGGCTGGTATCTTGAATCCTCACATGAAAATAATCGGGACTTAGCTGGTGGAAGCATGGGACTCAATCGATGTCATTCGTTACAATCTTCACCTTTTGATTCTTTAATTCTGTCCTCAACCATTCAGGAGAAAGGGGACAGGAAATTGACATGGTAAGAGCATTCCTAAATATAGCATCTCTGTTATAATTTGCTAGTAATGTGGCTGGATGCGCTTAAAAGTTGGCATTTACACTGGTACAATTGGGGGTAGTTGGGAAGTGGGTCGATTACAAAGTGGTGTCCTTGAGATCCTTTGTATCATAGACCTGTAACTTCCTGGATTTCTTTGTCCATGCTGCTTCTTTGTTCCCCTAAACAGCATTTAACTTTGATCTTTTAAAAATGTGCAGGGAATGTGGGAAACCTTTCATCCTGACTTCTGCTATGCAGAAGAGTTATGAGATGGTGTTCCTGGCTTTTAGTCAGAGGTGGCCTGTTCTTTTGTATGGCCCTGCCGGTGCAGGAAAAACTGCATTGATTTCAAAGTTAGCAGAACTTAATGGGGATCGGGGTATGTTGTTTGTTGCTCCATGTGAAATCAATCACCAATAGCATATGTATATCTTTTATGAGATGGAATTGTCTTTTGTTGCTTGGTTGTTGGCTGTGGATGTTTGGTTGAGCTCTTAAGGTTAATGTATCCCGACTTAAGGACCAAAGGGATGCAAACAAGTCAAAAAGTAGTCACGAACTTTAGAAAAGGTTAAAAGTAATTGTTGTTATTCATATCAGATGTTGACATCTATGGAAAAGGTCTAATAATTTCCTTTCCCTCGTTTATGTGGTTAATTTGAGTCTTCCAAAAGAATTAAATAAAAAGTGGTAGCATGCATTTGAATAATTAAGTTTAATATATTCCTTTAGTCCCCGTTTGTCACTTTGTTGAGGTTTAAATCTGATTCATTGAGATCTTAACCTTGTAAGTGCATTTCTTTCTTTTCCCTTACAATTACTTATTTTCTTTAAATAAATCTGATTCATTCCGAGCTTGTATGGGCCTTGAAATCATTAAGACTTTCAATTAAAGAATCATGTGAAGATGTGCTTTAACCACTTCTTTATCCACTACCACCACATAACCTCCACCTCCAGCCTTCTCCACACATCCCATGGACAACAGCCACCACTATTAATCACCTCCATTGCCCACCACTGCCAGCTGCCCTCAGCCCAAGTCAAGATCACCATCGAACTGTAACCACTAACCATAACCAGCCATCATCGCACAACCACCACCACCAACCCCGCTAATGCCAGACACCGCTAAACCACCAATCACCTGCATCACCGGCCACCTCCACCTCAACCGATCTGTTACCATCACCAGCCACCACCACCAATCAACTCTACAAAAGAATCTGAGCATCATGCAGAACCTTAAGGTGCTATTTTGAGTAGCCCAAGATCATCTAAATCCTTCGGAAACCCTTGTACAACCGATAAGAAACAAGTGGAGCATTCTCTAACACCCTTCCGTATGTGTAACACGGTTATGAGATTTACGCTTGGGTTTGATTTTTCTTTTGTTCAACGTTTTTTTTTGAAGTAGAGAGAGATGAGGTCAATAGGAGTGAGCCTGGATTAAAGAGATATAGTTAGGCTCATTAGGCTAATGAGCAGGGTTGGGAAAGCGAGCTCTTCAGCGCTTTAAGTGTGAAGCAAAGCGACACAGTGTCTGTTGCGCTTCAGAGTCCTGAAGCGAAGCGGCTTTTAGTGAAGCGCTCGGTGAGCTGGTTATATTTGTGTTCATAAATATCTCAGACTCCAAGTGAAGTCCAAGGCTTCAATACCCAGCAGGGAAAAATTTCTTGTTCTTAGATTTAGTAACAAACCCCTGAATAGTTTTCTTCATCTTGTCCTCTGCTTTCTCTTCTATGTTCATGGATCTTTGTTGTGGTCCACACTGCCGGTATGGCACAATTTGAAGAACAGAGTTGTTTACATATTCTTGAACAGCCATTGCAAAAGACTCGTTATTTCTTTCACAAGCTGAATGTGGTACCATCACTGGATATTCAAGTTTCATTGACGTTTCTAGATTTGGAATTGATTTAAAAAGGCATTGTCATAAATTTTGAAAATTTAAGTTGGATAGACATTTCATTCCCAAGTTTGAATATATACTTGTATCACATGCGAGTATGGTCATCTATTGCCATCCACTTTCATAAATAGCTAACAAATGCTTTTGCTTATGGTGCTTTGAATAAGATCTTGGTTCGTTCTGACTGTGTCTGCTTTTTTCTTGTTGGTAAATGTTCACAAACATAGTTTTATTCCTTCACATGGATGAGCAAGTTGATGGCAAGATGTTAGTTGGCACTTATGTCTGTACAGAGCAACCTGGTGAATTCAGATGGCAGCCTGGTTCACTTACCCAGGTTTCTTAGTCGTTTGAGAAATCAATTTATTTCATTATTCCTTCCTTGTCATAGAGTGAGGATTATTATGATATGCAGGCTGTTTCCAATGGATTCTGGGTTGTCTTTGAGGATGTTGATAAAGCACCTCCTGATGTTCAGTGCATCTTATTGCCTCTGTTAGAAGGCGCAACTTCGTTCTTCACTGGGCATGGAGAGGTATTATGGAATATTGTCTCTATCTGTTATGGAATATTGTCTCTATCTGTTCTAGAAGATCTCATGCTTATCCTTTGATGCTTTTGACTGCATTCTCTTTTGTCTGGATTTGCTAATTAGCTTGTTCAATTTTTTTTTTTTGTTTTTTGTTTTTGTTTTAATGGTTGTAATATCTTGACTCTCTCTGACTTTGTAATCCATTGAAAGCAAATTATGAAGGTAAGTGGTGGCCTACTGTTTCCATTGTGCGGTTTTGTGTAGCTCTTTAACTAGCTTCTTGGAAACATCTGTTTTATTTCAAGTTAATTAGCTGTTTGACTTTTTGTAGCATTATTCTTATGATGCGCATGTTTAAATCAATTTGATAGTGATATTGATTGAACACTTCAATGATTGAACTGTTCATTGTTCTGAAGCAAGGAGATAAGTCAAGATTCTATGCTTTAGTCTTTACACCTGAATGGAAGTGAAATTCTTTTTCTGATTCATTGGACAAGTTGTGATTTCCTAACTTGTGGCAACTATATCTTTCCCATATGGAATATATTCAGCAGTGCTTTAGCCATCATTATTCATATTCCATTTCCTGACAAATCTCAGAACAAAAAGATGTTAGAGGAAGGTGTGTGTATCTTGCCCATTTAGTTAGTTAAACAGATGATGTTGCTGTTTGCCACCGTGATTTGTTTTTCCGAAGGCTAGCCCCTTTTTTGGGTCTCCGTGCTGATTGGTCCTTGGATCCTAGCATTCACAAGTTGATTGGTGAAATGCGACACTGCTTCTTGTGCATATTATCCTGATGATGAAGGAAAACTAATACGTATTAACCACTGCAGGCAATCCGAGTCCATGAAGGTTTTCGGTTATTTTCCACGATGACAAGCACTAAGATAGATATATCTATGGAAGGTTGGCATTGCAACTTAGTATAAATTTTGGTTTTCTTGTCCATGTTCTATGTACCTAACTAAAAAAAATAACATTCTTAGTATACTTGTTTGATTTTTCCCTAGTTGCTAGTATTTTGGAGTCTGCTGTTAGTTCCCCCCCCCCCCTCCCCCCCCCCTTTTCCTTCTCTTTCCCTCAGTCTATTTGTGAAAATAGCACGCGCTCATGGTTTCCGATGCTTGGTAAGAAACAGATTCTGTATTTGGCTGTTTGCAGAAGTTCTTCTGTTGTTTTCTGATAATTGGTTGGTGAACTTCTTTTGCTGTTTGAGTGCTTCTCAAAAGTTCTGGTCGACTTTCTTCCTACATGTTTGCACTGTGATTAAATTTAAGTAGAAGTGGGTTTGGGACCTCAAAGTTCTCAAAGCTCTTCCCAAAATACCTTCAGTACTGTGTCAGTCACTTGTGTCTTTGGGTGGTCTGGTGTTCTCCAACAATTGTGAGTTCTTTCCAAATTGTTGGCTAGCATTCTCAGAGCGTGAGGAAAGCCATCTCCGAGTTTAAAACTGACAAGATTCTGGTATATGACAACTACAAGCTCTTGTCGTCAGGATTTGTCATTTTTTTAGTAGCTCCTATTAAAGGTGGATGTCTCTAATGACCGTTCGTAATGGTACCAATACTAATGTTTTGCTATTAATGTTATCGACGTCGATAAGACTTCCTTTTATTGCAACATGTATATCTTGTTATATATTTTACCCTTCTTTATTATTTTGGGTTCGTTTCCATCGTTAGCTGAAAGTGGCATCGTTCTTTAATAGGTAGGAGTTCTGTTAGTGCACTTTGGCGGAGAGTAATGATCGCACCTTCAAGTCATCAGGACTTGCTGAAGATTGTGAGCAAGTGGTATCCAGAATTGGAGTCTCTGGCCGCAGAACTTATTGGTACGATAGATCTAATGGTTCTTCATAGGTTTTCTACCTCTAGAATGTCTAATTCTGTTGGCACGTCTTGCAGGAACATTTGATAGAGTTAATGAGCTAGTAGGATCTCATTTTGGAACTGGTGCCTATTCAGGTTTTCATGGAAGGTTTACACTAAGGTAAGCTCAATCACGACCCGTCATTTGAATCTGTACAATATTGTCGGCTTTAACGATGTCTTGCCAATTGCAGAGATCTTCTCAAATGGTGCAAGAGAATTGCAGGTTTAGGTGTTCATTTTAGCGGGGATGGTCTATCAGCTTATGAAAACATTTATAAGGAGGTCTTACATGATAACTAACGCTCAGTTTGTCTTTTCCTTGCTAAATATTTCAGTTATGCTAAACAGGTGGATGATTTGACCTTGTAGGCTGTAGATATCTTTGCTTCCTTTTCAACTTCACGTGAAAAACGGTTGGCTATTGTGAAAGAGATAGCTAAGATGTGGTCAGCAGGACCTGTGGACACATTGTATCCCATTGATAGGCCTGTTATTCAGGTATCTGTTATTTTGTAATGTGATATTTTCATAGCTGACAATATAGCAGCTTCATTTTCTTATTTGCAACATCTCTGCAGGAACTGGCATCTGATTTACGTATCGGAAGGGTTGTACTTAAGCGTAACCACAGGGCTGTGAGTGAATGAACTCTGATCTTTTTTGGTAGAGCATGATATTTTCTTTTGTTCCTTTCTGAAGTTCTTTACCATTGTTGTAGACCTGGGAAGAGAAGAAGCATTTCGTTGAGATTCGGAATCTAATCCACGTGCTTGAGAGGATAGCGTGCTCTGTTAAGTATAATGAGCCAGTTCTTTTGGTGGGTGAGACTGGTACAGGGAAAACCACTCTTGTACAGAGTCTTGCTTCAAGACTTGGTCAAAAACTTACAGTCCTGGTATGTTTGGGAAATATCTGTGAACAAGAGGAATTAAATTTGCATTTAATAGCCTTCCATTTCATCAACAAATTATATTATGTTGCAGAATTTGAGTCAGCAAAGTGATATCACAGACTTGTTGGGTGGATTCAAACCAATGGATGCTCAGTTCATCTGTATACCCCTTTATAAGGAGTTTGAGAACCTTTTTACCATTACATTTTCGTCCAAGGTAAGTTTCTAGATTTTACCTTTTTAAATGTTGTTTCTTTCAGCTTTAATCAATATCACACACTATTGTTTCAGGAGAATGAAGTTTTTCTTGTACGTTTAAGGAAGTTTGTATCTGAAAAGAAATGGAAGATGTTATTAGGTGGATTTCAGAAAGGTGTCGGAAAGATAATTGAAATAGGAAGATCTGGGTCTGGTACAAAGCGGAAGAGACCTTTGGAGGATAAACTGATAAAGGCTTGGGAAGCCTTTTCCCTGAAACTAGATAAAGCGCGTATGCAGATTAGTGCTTCTGGTGGAATGATATTTTCTTTTGTAGAAGGAGCTTTTATTTCTGCACTTAAGAATGGTGAATGGATACTGCTTGATGAGGTGAACTTGGCTCCTCCGGAGACCTTGCAGCGAGTTATCGGTGTACTTGAAGAAGAAACTGGATCTTTGTGTTTGACTGAAAGGGGTGATGTTGATTATGTCAGTAGACACTCGAACTTCCGCTTATTTGCCTGCATGAATCCTGCAACTGATGCTGGGAAGAGAGACTTGCCCATTTCGTTGAGGAGCAGATTTACAGAATATTTTGTTGATGATTTGTTGGACGACAAAGACCTTTCTTTGTTTATTAGTCAGTTTATTGATGGGGATCATTCAAATAGAGAACTAGTCAATAAAATTGTACAGTTCTATAAAGCAGCCAAGAAGCAATCTGAAGAGAAGTTACAGGATGGTGCTAACCAGAAGCCCCAATATAGTTTAAGATCTCTTTACCGTGCACTAGAATACACAAAGAAAGCAAAGAGAACTTTTGGGCTTGCAAAAGCCCTTTATGATGGCTTTTGTATGTTTTTTCTGATTTCATTAGATGAACCAAGTGCTAAAATAATGAACCAATTGATTACTAAATATTTATTAGAGGGTAAAATACCTCCGCAGATCTCCTTTGATGCTTACTTGTTAGATAGAGGAAACTCAAGGTCTGATGATTTGGTGGAGAGCTATGTTTTGACTAAGAGTGTCAAGGAGCATATTAGAAACTTGGCGCGTGCCATATTTGTTGGAAGATACCCAGTTCTACTTCAGGGGCCAACATCTAGTGGAAAGACGAGCCTGGTCCAGTATCTTGCTGCTATAACTGGTCATGAGTTTGTGAGGATTAATAACCATGAACACACTGATCTGCAGGAGTACCTGGGTTCCTATGTTACTGATGCAAATGGGAAGCTTGTCTTCCATGAGGGTGCACTTGTTAAGGCGGTTCGCAATGGTCATTGGATAGTTCTAGATGAGCTCAACCTTGCCCCATCAGATGTGTTAGAGGCTTTGAACAGGTTGCTAGATGATAATAGAGAGCTTTTTGTCCCAGAGTTGTGTGAAACTGTTCGAGCACACCCAAACTTCATGTTGTTTGCCACTCAGAATCCACCTACCTTATATGGTGGTCGCAAAATGCTTTCACGAGCATTTCGCAACCGTTTCGTGGAGATCCATGTTGATGAAATTCCAGAAGATGAGTTGAGCACAATATTGACCAATAGGTGTGAAATCCCAGAAAGCTATGCTAGGAAAATGATTGCTGTCATGAAGGAACTACAATTGCATAGACAGAGTACTAAAATATTTGCTGGAAAACATGGTTTCATTACTCCACGTGATCTATTTCGGTGGGCTAACCGTCTCAGGGAATTTGGGAAGTCCTATGAAGACCTAGCTCTTGACGGTTATTATTTGATGGCTGAGAGACTCCGAAATAATGACGAGAAAAAAGTTGTCCAGGCAGTTGTCGAACAGCAGTTGCGGGTTAGACTAGCTGAGGATGATATGTACAAGCAGGTTTTCTCTCTTTTACCTCCCGCTACTTATGCTGCATTCTACGTAGTAATAGGTTTTTAACACTCATTGTTGTTATTGATGCCGGGGAGATTCTTTCATCACTAGAATTTTATGGAGTTACCAGGTTTACGTCCCTTGACTTCTAATGATATTGCAGAAAGTTCTCCTAATGAAATTATTTTTTGCTTGATACTGGTTTTTTAAATGTTGAAAGAGGAAGCCTGTTGATGCAGGTGCTGAGAGAGGGGGAGGGGGAGGAGACTATATTCTTTTAGGGGTCGTTTGGTTGGAAAGAAGTTATCCCAGGATTAATTATTCCGGGATTAGTTATCCCGGAATTAGTTATTCCACCTTTCCACGGGGATAAAAAAACACCACAATCCCGGGATAACTAATCCCGGGATTAATTATACCGCAGTTTTCTACCAACCAAACATGGGATAAACTCTTCTTAAATTTAGTCGTCGGATTAATTATTCCTTATCCCTCATACCAAACGAGCCTTTATTGATCAAGTAAATAGGATTTTATTTACAATGGCACAAATAGCACCCGTATAAAAGGAAACAAATAGCACCCGTATACAAGGAATACAACAACAACAACTACAAACCCAATGTAATCCCACAAGTGGGGTCTGAGGATGGTAGGATTTTATCTAACTGTATACAAGGAATATACCAAAGAAAGAAAACCTTACAAAATGATATGGTTTTCTACAAACAACACCCAATCTTCTATACCTGTTGGAAACTCATGGGTGCGCCAAAAGAAAATTAGGGATGAAAGGTTATTCCTCAAATAAAGGGCAGTCTGGTACACAAAGCATCCCGCGTTCACGCAGGGTCCGGGGAATGGCCGCAGCCCAAGGGGTGTAATGTAGGCAGCCTACCTTGATGCATAAGATGCTATTCTTCAAATGAACAAAATCCTTTTGTATTCCATCCAAAGCTCTCCTATTTCTTTCTCTCCGGGGAGAATATATTATTTTTTTCCTGAATTACTAGAGATACTTGATGCAATATCTTCCTGGTGATGTTCAAAACCTCATTATTATCATGAAAGGGTAAAACCTAAAAGATAGAATCTACTTGGGTGTGGGAGAAAGAGATAGAGGGGGAGCAGATAGGGATGCTAATTAGACAGCCTATGACGGGGCAGGTGTCACGACCCAAACCCCGCACTGGTCGTGATGGCGCCTCTCGTGAAGACGAGGCCAGCCAACTAACCCAACTCGTCTTTTAAAAAAAGTAATTTAAACATGAATGAACAGCCAAAATATGACTTAATAATATTAAATAGCGGAAATACAACCCAACACAGCCCAAACCGGGGTGTCACAAGTCACGAGCATCTATACGAGTGTAACTACATTTACCAAGTCTAGAAATACACTGAACAGGAATAATGAACAGCATAGAAAGAAAAGGTGCTGCGAACGCTGGCAGTCACCTCGCTAAACTCCTACAGCTCTGCCTCCAACAGCCAATACCCGCTACCGGGTGAATAAATACCTGCATCTGCACACGAGGTGCAGGGAGTAAAGTGAGTACTCCAAATCAGTGAGTAATAAGGGTAAATAACAACTGAGCAGTAAGAAACCACGTAAAGCGAACCGTCATGCTATATAGGAGCAGTGTAGAACTCTTTGAGAAAGCAGTGAAGCTGTGAAATCTTTAGAAATATCTTGGCTCAGTTTAAAACCTCTTTTGAAAATGACTTTTTCGGCGGTTACGCAAATGAATGCAAAAACGAATAGTGCAGATAAGCACAGAATTTCCGCCCCTCGGGCACAACACTCAGTTATCAGATAATGCCAGAATATCAGGTAAATACTGCAAGAAGTACATAAACAACAGATAATGACAGACAAATGAAGTAAAGTAAACACACCGAACAGTACTAGTACCGCTGCGGCGTGCAGCCCGATCTGTTTATCGTCGACGGCGCTTACTGGGGGTGTGCAGACTCAGGGAGGGGCCCCTTACGGCCCAAGCGCAATATCAAGCCATCTCGTGGCATCAATCTAGTCCCTCGGCCTCATATCAATATCAGTATAACACTGCTGCGGCGTGCAACCCGATCCATAAGTATCCTCACAAAACAGGCCCTCGGCCTTACTCAGTCAACAAAAATCACATAAGCCACTCGGGCAACAATAAAGCATGATGCTCAGCCCAAAATATTTTATGGAAATATCATTTCGAGTGTTTAAGGCATAATAACTTGGCTGAGTTTTAAAACAGTGGAAAATACATGACTGAGTTCAAATATATAATTAAATCAGTGAGGAATTATCAACAACAATCCCAGAAGGGTTCAAATAGTTGGCACGAAGCCCAAATATGGCGATCAGCCCAAATTATGATGATAACAAGTAGTTTCAGTCAAATACGCAGTAAATTCATCAATCGGGATGGACCAAGTCACAATCCCCAACGGTGCTCTACCCCACGCTCGCTAGCCGGCGTGCAGTCACCTCAATACAGCACTATGATGTGCAAATCCGGGGTTTCAAACCCTTAGAATATCATTTACAATCATTACTCACCTCGAACCGGTGAAATCTCCAGCTCGCGACGCCTTTGCTCCTCAAATCGGCCTCCACGCGTGTAGAATCTATCCAAAATCAGAGTGAATACATCACAATATGTTAAGGGAACAAAGCCCAAGCGAAAACAATCAGTAACGGGCACAAATCCCGAAATTAGCAAAACCCGAGCCCCAGGCCCACTTCTCGAAACTCATAAATTCTTACACCAACGGGTTCCTTATCTCGCCACGAGTCTATTCATATAAAGAACACCAAAATCGGGGTCCAAATGACCCCTCAAATCCCAATTTTTACTCTCTTAAGTTCAAGCCCTAAATCACCATTTTTGTCCATTATTTTCTTAAGTTTTCAGCCCTAATACATGTAATAATACCATAGGATTGTGTTTTAAGTCCAAGAATCCTGACCTTATCGAAGCTCCTTGAAATCCCTCTTCAAAATCGCCCACAATTCTCCAAGTCCGAAGTTAGAAATGAGAAACCCTCAAAAATTTGCGAAGAAGACCAATTAAATATTCTGCCCAGGCAAAACCGCACCTGCGGTCAAAAGTCGCTTCTGCGGCTTCCGCTTCTGCGGCCAAAGTTCCGCTTCTGCGGAAATCACTACTCCAGGGATCGCTTCTGCGACTAAAATTCCGCATCTGTGCCTTTGCAGATGCGGCTCCTCGTCCGCTTCTGCGGAAACAGCTTCGAGCCCAAAACTCGCATCTGCGGCTCGCCTTTCGCACCTGCGACTCCGCTTCTGCGGCTTCCTCCTCGCTCCTGCGATACCGCTTCTGCGGTCCCAATTCCGCAGAAGCGAAAATACCAGAAGCAGCAGCAAATTTCCAATTTCACAAGTCCAAAACTTCCCGTTAACCATCCGAAATCACCCCGAGGCCCCCGGGACCTCAACCAAAAACACCAACACCTCCTATAACATCATTCAAACTTGTTCCAATCATTAAAACGCCTCAAACAACACCAAAACTATCAAATTACATCGAATTCAAGCCTAAGTTCTTCTAAAACTTCCAAAACACGCATTCGATCAAAAACCCGACCAAACGACGTCCGAATGACCTGAAATTGTGCACACACATCACAAATGACATAAGGAAGCTACAACAACTCTCGGAATTCCATTCCGACCCTCGGATCAAAATCTCACCTATCAACCGGAAATCGCCAAAATACTAGCTTCGCCAATTCAAGCCTAATTCTACACCGGACTTCCAAAACCAATTCCGATCACACTCCTAAGTCATAAATCATCCAACGAAGCTAACCAAATCATAAAAATTCCAATCCGAGCTCATATACAAATAAGTCAACTCTTGGTCAAACCTTCCAAATTCAAAGCTTTCAACTGAGACTGTTTCTTTCAAATTCATTCCAAATTTTCCTGAAAACCAAAACCAATGATCTACATTAGTCATAATATATAACACGGGGCAAGTCATGCCCGAGAACTGGCGATCAAAGCGCAAAAGCTCAAAACGACCGGTCGGGTCGTTACAGTAGGGGATTAAGACCGAGTAAAGAAATGGTATTAGGTTAGATGGAAATTGGTGTGGCATCATTGCCGGGTTATCTTGTGGTGATCAAATTTTATTTGTGGAGGCAGTTGACAACCTTAGAAGGGTAGAAACTGTTGTCAGAGAGGAGCTATTGCATTAAGCGCACATGAGTCTGTTATTATTTTAGTTGGCATTTGAGAACTTCGTGTTCTTGTTTTTTTTTCTGAATCAACAACTAAGACCAGATCAAAAGGAACCTTTCTGAATATAAATGTTACCTTTCTTAAAAAAAGGAACTTTCTGAAGTTGGCATGTAGCCGAATTATCGGATCTGAGTTACTTATTAGATTGATGTCATATTCTTTTGATTGTCTTGTGTCACTTGTTTCATATCAAACACATGTCATGGTGACCTTTCCCTCTTTTCTTGGGGATAAAGTAATTACTTAAGGAAGTTGTGAGAAAAGACACCCGTAAACAATAAGTATATATATATATATATATATATATTTTTTTTTTTTTGGATAAGGTGAAGGTTCCATTAAAGGAGTACCAAGAAGGTACCCAAAAAATTACAAGTTACCGCATAGCTGCATCTGTTACCTTCCCAAAACACCTATAAAATCCATAAACTGATCTAAGTTTTCAACTACATTTGTTTTACACCAGAAATACAAGTTTTGAAGGCAACTATTTTTTGCAAAAGCTAGGTGATTTCTTTGGTTCTCAAAACATATCTTATTCCTTTCCAACCAAATGGTCCAAAAGATGCAGAGGGGTATAGTCTTCCAGATTTTCTTCAGATCTTTCCTGACTTTCTTGTATTGCCAACATAGCAGTAGGTCTTTCACATTCCTTGGCATCACCCAATGAACTCCACTCATGTTCAGAAAAAGATTCCAAATTTGTTGTATTTGGCTACAATGCAAAAAAAAGATGTTCCATCGATTCTTGGGACCTTCCACAAAAAAAACATCTGCTGCACAAAGGTATTCCTCTTCTCTGTAACATTTCTTGAGTTAAGCATGCCCGCCTAGCTACAATCCATCCGAAACAAGCAACTTTAATAAACAATATGTATATCAAAGGCTAAATACCTAGGTCCCCCCTTAAACTTGGTACCATTTGTAAATTAAGACACTTCAACTTTCAGAGCAACCATATAGTCACTTTAACTCGGCCAAAGTGTCTCTCTTAAATACAAGTGTCTAATGTGGCAAACTGCATGTTTCAGAAACAGTTTTGAGCGCATGAGTCCTTTTGTACCCTTTTTCATTTTATATTTGAAAAAAGACCCTTAAATCTATAGTGATCTCCTCCCACCTCCCGCTAGCATGCGACCAAAAATAATGGCCGCTCCAATCTAACAATGACCCTATGGTCACATCTCTCACCCTTTCAAAATTGAAATTATCCACTCAAAATTCATTTGAACACCCCCCCCCCCCCCCCCAAATTTACATTTTCCTCTCCCCTATCAAAAACCAAAACTACTTCAAATTTTAGATTGGCAGATCAACAAAAACCTCGAAAATATCTAATTTTAATCTTAAAAACGAAAACCTAGATGATGGAAATCCAAACGCTTTCATCTCAGCTAAAATTTTTTCCTTATTTAGTTAGGAATAAGAAGTCAAGCTCAATCGAAGCCAACTTTAAAATTTTTCCGGCTGCTAACGTCATTTTTTTGATGATGGCAAACTTTGTTACTGGGTTAGACTCTAACTGACAGTTTTAAAATCGTTGGTTAAATTCGCTATTAATTAAATCAAGAACAGAGTTCAAAAACTAAAAATAACATTAATTTTTGTCCTTACAGACAAAGGATGGATTAGAGTGAGAACTAAATTTAAATATGGAATAAGCAAAATAGGGATATGACTATTGAGGACTAGGGTTGGGAAGAGATAATATCCGGCACTGGAGAAGAAGAAGGGACGGTACAAGGTTGGGAAGAAAGGGAGGAGACAATCCGGGGGTGGGGAGCAGGGTTTTGTTTTTTTCTTTTTTATTTATTTCTTATTGTATTTTTAGGTTTTTTAGTTACTTGTAAAAGACGTGTCGTTTAGTAGCTGGTTCACTTGACATGGCAATAGGAAGTGTGCTTTGCGCTCCTAGCTTTATGGACACTTGTGTTTAAGCGGCACACTTTGGCTGAGTTAAATTGTCTATCTGGTCACTAGGAAAGTAAAATATCTAACTTACAAATCATGTCAAGTTTAAGTGGGTATTTGGCCTATATCAAAACGTAAAGGTTGCCTACATAAATACAAGGGGGAATCGAGCTAATCTCTACAAAAGGCACACGCTCATCATCTATACAAGCGGGAATCAAGTTAATCTAAATAAATGTCACCTCATAATCTGTTTTGTGTTCCACCATTTCGGATGGCCTTCTATTTCTTTCTGTCCACAATACCACATAACCGCCATGATGGAGGCTACATCCCAAGCCTCCTATTCCTAAATGCCTTGTCCGTGATTTCCTTACTTTTGATACTCTCTCTGACCCAATTTATGTGATGCACTTCGACTAGGCACGGAGTTTAAGGAAAAAAGGATGACTTTTGAAATTTATGGTCTAAAATTAACCATAGATATTTGTGGCTATAAATCATCTCATTAAAGGTAAGTGGGTAGCTTGAAGCTAAATTGTTTCATTTCCAAATATAAAATTCTTTACGGGGCAGACTAAATGGGAAAGTGCATCACGTAAATTGGGACAAAGGAAGAATTAGTTATTGTACTTTGAATAAACTTAGAACATTCCACCAAAGCTGGCTGGTCTGCAGTGCATTATTAAATGGTTCACATCTTCATGTAAGCATTTGCACATGAAGCACGAAGTAACTTGCTAGTTTGCCTTCTCAAATTTTCCTTTTTATTATTTCTCATCTTGTCTAAGATGATCTTAATTGGAGCAACATGATCATTGGCGAAATGGTCATGCCAGCAAACACTTGTGATCTGCTGAAGTGTTGGAATTATAATGGGGGTATAGTGAGACAGAAGAAATGGTGGAGATTGGTTCCTGCTTGCATAGTTGGTGCTGTTGTAGTAGTATTACTTCTTGCCACTATCAATGTGAATATTAAAACCTACCTTGTAGATCGTAGTATCAGCACTGGTGCATACGGAATGTTCTCCTCCTTATTAACCTTGTATAGGACTTCATGGAGAAGATGCTTCTCTCCTTCACCTTCCATCTCAAGGAGTGCTGTTCTGATAGGATAATATTCCGTCTGTAGAGCAGAGTGCTCCATTAGATAATTCCTCCATCCCCCAGTTTTGTAAGTTATCCCTAAACCTTAAATTACAAATTGTTTTCCCGATTTGTTCTTCATAGACATAGTGAATTATTGCCTCTCTGGCTCGAGGTATGAAGATCCACATGGTATTTGAAACTTATGGAGTCACCACAGCACTGTTTATGCCTACAGAAGCTAATCTTGTATACACTACATGCCATGTAAGTGACGTACCAGCTGAATGTTTCCCATTCCTTCATGATGCTTCTCCGCAGACCGCATACATAGGATATGATAATGTTGCTCGTTCTCCACCCCATCCTGAATACCAAACTTGTCTGCGATTACAGTTCCCCAAAGTGCATGTTCTTTATTCTTGAACTTTTAGCCACTTCCCTAGGAGTGTGTTGTGGAACGTCTTCAAATCTCTTACTTCAAGTCTTCCAATCCTGATGGATTCTGTGACCACCTTTCAGCTCACCAAGTGGAATTCCTTGTTCTATCATTATTGTTCCACTAGAAATTCCACTGAGACTTTCCAGCTTTTCAATAACACTTACGGGTGCACGCATAAATGACATGTAGTACATCGTGATGCATGAAAGAGTACTCTTGTCCAGCCTCTCCTTGCCTACTTTTGATAGATATTTCTTCTACCACCATGCGAGTCTCTTCTCAACTCTCTAAGTGATAGGATACTTGGTTTATCCTCCGTTTTCTGAGAGTCCACCACTTTGTTTGCGTCTGTCGTTGTGGCCTTCCTTTGATTTTTGAGACTGATACTTATTTGCTTGATGATGGATTTTCTTTTTAATTTAAAGACATGACATTTTAATAGAGGTGTAGTCTATGTAATCATTTACCTATGCAGATTCTCCCGTCTCTGTTTACAAGTGCTAAAATTAGTTAGGCTACCAAGCTTTCTTTGGTTTCAGCTTGTAAGTGATTTTTATGTCCTATCTATTAGCTCCGTTCCCGCAAGTTCTTGCAGAACCTTAAAATGTTGTAACACGTAACCTATATCAACGTTCCCATGGTTTAAGTTTTGATTATACACGTGCTGTATACATAGACGATATGAAATTTCGTCTAGTTCAACCAGACTCAACATTTCCTTGGTCTAATGTTTTAACTATAAATGTCCATATACATGGAAGGTGAGCAAATCTGATAATCTGTTTTGTATACTTGTTTAATATTTCACCTTTTTTCTGAGTAGTGTTAAATGTTCCAAGAATTCTATAGGGTACAGCAGAAATGTTGGATGATCCTTCTGATTTCTTGGTTCTGCATGCACTCACTGTAGCATGTGAAAACAGAGTGCTACCAAATTGCTTGAATACACTGAGTGCTAATTTTGGGGTGCAGGACGGAGGAGATGGAAATAAGGTCTTGGAGGTTGACAAGCATTCAGGAGTCGCGGGAAGGCTGGGAAAGTATGTGGTATAAAGTAATTAAGTGTAAAGTGCTTTTTGGTTGTGGTTAGCTTCAGCTTCTTTTTGTTGCAGAATTGTTTGGACGAGAAGTATGAGGAGGTTGTACTTTCTTGTTGAGCGTTGTTACAAGCTGCGTGAGCCTGTTCTCCTTGTTGGTGAAACGGGGGGAGGGAAAACTTCTGTTTGCCAGCTGCTAAGTATTATTTTGGGTTCGAAATTGCACATTTTGAATTGCCATCAATACACAGAAACATCTGATTTTCTCGGGGTTAGCTTACTTTCCCTGTTTCTTCTGGATCGTGCAACTTGTGTTTATTGGTCCTTGTTGATTCTATCATCTGATTTTCTGTAAATGTTTACGTATTTCATTTCATGCTTTCTATATTTATCTTACGGAAATGGTTTTGTATTATGATATACTTACCAGGGTTTCTATCCTGTACGAGAAAGATCTAGAATTTCTACAGAGTTCAAGCACCTTTGTGAGAAGTTGATGCATTCCAAGGCTTTTGTGAACTATCCTGGTGATTCTGTATGTTTATCCCCATTCGTTATTCTGGTATGAGACGAGATTCATTTCTTTCATTATTAAAACACTGATGTTTCTTGTCACATATATGCTCTGCAGATGATTTCTTCAGATATCAATCAAGCTTCTACTACTCTTCATAAGCTGTCTGTGATTTTAAGTAGTTACAGGCAGTGTCTGATACGCCATCCTGATGTAACTGGTCAAGATGTCGACTACATTGGACAGCTGAATTTGGACTTAGTTCAACTGCACCAGAAATGGCAGACCATTTTTATGTGGCAAGATGGACCTCTTGTTGAAGCGATGAAGAAAGGGGAGTTGTTTCTTGTTGATGAAATCTCTTTAGCTGATGACAGTGTACTTGAAAGACTAAACAGCGTGTTGGAGCCAGAAAGGAAACTGGTAGTTAACTTGTCATGGTTTATAGAGATAGTACTCAGATGATTAACATTTGAATTCGACTGCCTTCCAAAATAAGAATCTTAAAGTCAAGTCTCATACTTGATAGGTTGAAATTAGATATTACTGCATTTGTTTCAGAGCTTGCATCATCTGTCATTTCCTAGGAGGTGTTTGTTTCTGTTGTTTTGATGCAAATTTTCCTACTAAGATTTTTACATATGAAATAGCTAGCTTGTGCTCCTGGTTTGTTTCTGTCTGTGCTCCCAGCTTGACTTTCCTGCTTCCTTATTACATGCCACCTTTTCTTATTTGTCTTGTTAAGTTTGGCCAATATTGTTTTGATTATTCATTTTCTTTTCCTTACAGTGCTAATTTGTTCTTCATTGTATATCTGGTATTCTGCAGTCTTTGGCTGAGAAAGGAGGGTCTGATCTCCAGAAAATAACTGCTCATCCTGACTTTTTCCTACTTGCAACAATGAATCCTGGTGGCGATTTTGGCAAGAAGGAATTGTCTCCTGCCCTTCGCAATAGGTTCACGGAGATCTGGGTACCACCTATTACTGAGTTGGATGAGCTTAAAAGTATTGCTCTTGAGAGGTCTGTAATGTTTGGTTTTTATTTTTCTACCAATTCCATTAAGATGACTTGCTTTTCATGAGTGGCTGATTAATGGTCTTATTTGATTTGACAAACTTTGTTTTGCAGCATTTCAAATGCAAACTTTAGTGTGCTGGTAGATCTTTTGATGAAATTTTGGGAGGTATGTAGTTTCGGTATATTATATAACCTTAGTTTGTCGTAAAGGCTTTGCATGCCTGCACAGCCAGTTCAACTTTTTATCCAAGCATCAGTCGGGCTTACAGGGTGTGAAACTCGTCACTACCTCATAAGGGCGTGAGACCATAGCATGTTACACTATGAAATAAGAGGTCTTATTTGGGACCATACGTAGTAATTTGCTGGCCCTACCATGGAAGGTTGCATATAATTTTGTGTCAATTTCCCTTATTCCTGGTACCAAATATGTACCTCTTTTTGCCAAATTTATTGTCCTTCTGAGTTTGTCCCAATTTATGCTTGATAGGTAAAGTTATTCTTTACACGATTCAGTACTTCTCTTCTGTCATCGAAAGGTTGTTATTGGACCTGCATTATACTAGTAGAGGCTCTAATTTTTGAAAAAATTACTTCATTTTCACTTTTATGCTACTTTGATTGAACTGAAGTAAAATTTTAACTCTTTATCTTTATAATTGATTAAAACAAAAATAGGCACCTAAATTGAGACGAAGGAATTCCTGTTATCTTTATGAAATTAAGAACAGTCGGAGCGTGTTCCTTATCTTGTTCAGTTGAGATAATATGCTGTAAAGAGGGAGTAGTTGCTGGGCCCAGAAAAGGGAAAGTTATTGCATTGTTACCTGAAACCTTTTCGATAAATAGCCGCAGGAAAAACTAGAAACTTGTCAACTTATAAAATACTACTCCCTCTGTTCCAATTTATGTGAACCTATTTCCTTTTTGGTCCGTTCCAAGAAGAATGACCCATTCTAAATTTGGTAACAATTTAGCTTAAACTTACAATTCTACCATTAATGAGAAGCTTTTATAACCACACAAATACTCTGGGCCCCTTTTTGACTTGTTTAGGACCACTAATTTTAGAAGTCTTCATTTTTTCTTAAACTCCGTGCCCAGTCAAACAGGTTCACATAAATTGAAACGGAGGGAGTACAAATTAATAAAAGGGCAACCTACGTTATTCTCTCCTGTTCGGGACCTCTATTTTCTTGGATACCTTGGTGAGCTAGAACAGTTGATCCCATGTCATTAAATTTCAGCCAGAATGGTTTCGGAGGGGGTTGCGTAGTGGTTGAAGATTGGGAACAACAACCATGGGGATCGAGGTTTGAATTTCAGTAGAGACGATTTACTCCCATTTGTCTAAGATTAGGTGGACATAGTGATACCTATGGTGATGGGAAATAGCAGGAACTTGCCATTCGCTAAAAAAAAAGAATAAACAGTGTTAGTTGGAATTTGTAAATTGGTGCTACTTGGGAGCGGCAACCTTCTAGTTTCTTGGGCACATTATATCCTTAGTGTTGAGTCCCACATCGACAATGAAGGGATGGGTGGTCTCCTTATATGGACTTGGGCAATCCTCACCTCTTGAGCTAGCTTTTGGAGTTGAGTTAGGCCCAAGGTCCATTTATCATGGTATCAGAGCAGGAGCTATCCCGATTTTCCGATGTTGGGCCCCCATAATTGTCCATGCTCCAGATGTCCAGTCCGGGCGTGAGAGGGAGTGTTGAGTCCCACATCGGCAATGAAGGGGATGGGTGGTCTCCTTATATGGACTTGAGCAATCCTCACCTCTTGAGCTAGCTTTTGGGGTTGAGTTAAGCCCAAGGTCCATTTATCACTTAGTAGCACTGTCTATCTCTTGTTGTGCTTCATCCTGTATTATAAATGGAATATTCCCATATAAAGGGAAGAACTTGTTGAGACTTGAGAATAGTGACTTGCTGGACTAATCGTGAAAGGGAGGACCATCTAGATATATGAGAACAATTATACTTTGTTCTTGCATGTTATAATCATCACTTTAGAGTGTTAAAACATTGGATCTTGGCCCTAACTCGGTCACAAAAGTTAGCTCATGAGGTGAAGATAGACCATATTAGGAGACAAGATCCCATTCTCTCAACCAATGTGGGACAGTTAACACCCCCGGGCACGCCCAGGACCGGGCATTTAGAGTGGAAAATATAAGATAGGGGCCCTATATTAGGTAAAGCAAAAATAGAGATGACGCTGGCTCTGAAACCAAGCGAAAGAATTCGAGTACCAACCCACAACCTAAAGGCGATGGGTGGAGTGGCCCGACACTGTAAAGCTATTTGGAAACCTTGATACGATCGATGGAGGACACGTACGTGGAACCTGGTTTTAGGATATACATGTGGCTTGAAGTTCTTTTTTTCCATAATCTCTTGGTCTTGTTTAAGTAGTGAGAGAGGAAGCTCAACAGACTAATGAGTAGTCCTTGAGAAATGTTATGGCTAGCCTGGAGCAATGTTATGGCTCGAGGGTCTAACAGTGTTATCAAAGGCGAAAAACGCAAAAAAGTTCTAAGGCCCGTTGGGGCTTTAAGCGAAAAGCGCAAACAAAGCGTGGACTTTAATGAAAGAAGGCGCAATTGGAGAAAAAATAAAAACATGTATTGCAGTCCAAGACCAATAGCATGAATAACAAATATATGGACAAAAAAATTGAAAACAAATTACGATAAAGTGAAATATCAATTGTTTAGTGTTGCATTTTCAGGATTACACTTATTGGCAAGGAAAAGTATGCCTTAGAGCCTTGATGCGACACTGAAGCGCCCGTAAAACGAGGCGAAGCGCTCAACATGTTTTGAGCCTCGCTTTAGGGCTTAAGCGCGCTTTAAGCACGCCTTTGACAACACTGGGGTCTAAATAGAGAGAGAAGCCTAGAGTTGCTCAAAGAGGTCGAGTTGAGAGAGAGAAGCCTAGAGTTAGATTACGGGAGAAAGTGGTTGCACTTAGGCCTACATAAGTTCTGCTATAGTAGCTTGTTAAGAATGGGACGTTGGACCTAACTCAACCCCAAAACTTAAAAGCTAGCTCACGAGGTGAGGATTGTCAAGACCTTATATGGAGAAAAGAGCCAATTTTCTCAACCAAAGTGGGATAAACAACTTAGAAGAGGTAATTTAGAGCTCATGTCAAATCATCAAGCCAAGCCCTTTGGTTCTGAGCTGGACCATCTTGTGCTAAATTGCACCTAAAGCCATAGTTTGGTTGTGGTCATTGTATCTTTGATGATTATTTGTCATTGGTTTAGTTATGCTAGCTTGATTTCTGTTACATGTGTTACTCACTTGGTTCTGTAAAGGAAATCTAGTCAGAGATGCAGCATCTCCCCTTATCCTTTTTAACTGTTAACTCCTTCAAATCTTCATGGCATTTAGTTTGACATTCTTTTTCTTAAATTCAGTGGTTCAACAATTTACAAACAGGAAGGGCACTTACTGTGAGAGATCTGCTATCGTGGGTATCCTTTATTAATGTGACAGAGAGCTTTCTTCAACCAGAATCTGCGTTCCTTCATGGGGCATTTCTTGTTTTGCTCGACGGCCTGAGTTTAGGTATGTGAACTTGCTAATTTTTCTACTACCTAATATTTCCGTTATTTGGTTTAGTAGTATATGAAATGTGTGATTTGGATGTAATAGTCCTAAGTCATAACATCTCGTACTTACATCTCATCTGTTGATGCACTGTTATCTTCTGCACTGGTTTTTTATTGCCTGTGAAAACTTATTGCATATGCATGCTTGGGGCTGTATACATTTCTTATATATACTGCTTCTCCACAAGTTTAACTTCTTTCTATCTTATTGCTCATTATATCAGTCATACCACAAGTTCAATTTTCTAGAAATCTTTTTTTGCATCTCGAGTAAGGATGGCTATTCTTGTATAGTTTACCGTGAGCCTTTTACAACCTTTTTCATATGTTCCTGCTGGTTGACAAAGTCTGTTGTGATTCTGGTGTTTTTATTTCTCGGTTATGTTCATTCTCTTTTTACTTATTTTACTCAGGTACAAATATTTCAAGGATTGATGCTGCTGGGCTGCGAGAGAAATGCCTTTCGTTTCTTTTGGAGGGACTAAAGGTCTCATCCTATTTCTGTACATAACAAACCATTTGTTTTTTTGATCAATCTAGTTGAAAGATTTTACAGCTTTCTGCCTTCTTTGCTGTACCGTCCTGTCCATGCATAGAAAGACAAAAAAAGCGTAGATACAGTGTACATTATATTGCAATCTTGAATGGGGGGTCTCGAAATTCCTGTCATCTCTTGAAAGGTTAAATCAATGTCGGCCTTCTAGAAGTGCTTTCTGTTCTCACAGAAGAGTTAGTGGAGCTCTGCCTTTTCAATAGAAATGCTAGGATTAGAATATTGTCTTGAAAGCCACTGAGAAGTAAGGGGAGCAGAGATGATCATATTCCAGTAAATTTTCCAACGTTTGCTGTCCATTAAAAAATGAACTACTACTTGATCATCCTGGTCATCACGTGCTCTTTTGAGGTACTTGTGCTGTTTCTTTAACATTTCTTTTGTAACAAGTATTGCCTTTTCCCATTGTAGGAGCTCAATCTTAGTTTTGATTGCTCAAATATATCCATGCTGATGTCTTACGGTTGGCCCGATCCTGCAAGATCTGCTGTTATAGCATGCACTGATACAATGCAATGTGATAATTGCTTTGGGATTCCTCCCTTCTCTATTGAGAAAGGTATGTTGTACAGGGTGTGATCTAAAAATTTATGACGAGAAGTTTTGCTGCTGATGTTGCTTACTTGCTTAGCACCGATTTGATAACCAGATAGGAAACTAACTTAAAAAGGAATCACTGCAATACTGCTTTTAGTCTTTGGGTGGAAGTTCTTGCTCTCTAACCTTGCTGTTGCTTAAGAGTTAATCATGTTGTTCATACTGTTCGCCAGATGAACTGCTGGGGCTTGTTGATTCCTTTTTTTTTTTGATAGAGTAAATAATTTTATTTGGGATGGGGGAGACCCTGTATACAAGCCGTACAACAAACAGTAGACCTATGCCAAATATGGTTCTCTATGAAAGAAGCCCGATCCTATAAGCCTTATTGTCTTTTCAGCATGGAAACATTTCTTTTATTGAAAAATGTTATATAACAAATTTAACCATCAAATCATCATTGATTCCTCTTTTAAGTTCTTGCTCGGTATGTATTAATTCACACATATACGCACACACAATACACACATAACATACACACACACATACATGTACAAATAAGATGTTAAGGATGTGATTTCTTGCCCGGTCTAAGCCTTGGTGGACCGGGTTACCTATTACCTGTGCTTGTGGGAGGTAGCATGTACTCGGTGGTTTAATGGAGTTGTGCATAAGTTTGCCCGAACATCACTCTTTTTAATAAACGAGGGAACGAGATAAGTATTTGAACCTGTGCATCAATAATAGAACTGCTTTAATTTCAAGTCCAGTCATTGATAAGGCAGTTCCAAAATTTCGTATGGTTTATGAATCAAAGTCCTGTTATCATTTTTGAAATAGTTGTATTTATTTTTTGATTGTTTAAAATAGTTTGTATTTATTCAAAGGGGAGTACACCAGATGATGTACTGTGCTTTGCTCTAAAATACATTATTTTGTATAATTGTACTCAAAGATTGTATCTAATTGCCTCAGGTTGTTTTGAATTAAAGAGAACACTTAGGCTATCATGATAGTGTAATAAAAGAGATACCTTTTCTTCGGTTAATAAAAGAAAGAAAAGATAATAAGAAAAGATAACGGTAATATCCTATTGACCTTCTGATTTAAGCCTTTCTTCATGCACAATATTTTTTCTGTTTTGCTATGCATTGCCAATGAGTAGTAGCCTGATATTTAAGTGGGAGCACGGTAGAGGGGTGGGCCAATGCTCCCTTGTGGTTAGAACATGTGGGCCAACTTGGGTTGGTCTGCTAATTCACAATGGATTTCTCGCTTATTATAAAGTTAAAATTGTTTGGTGTTTGGTGGAACCCTATGTTACACTGATACTTCAAAACCCACTGCACTACCTTCTGTATCCATGTAACCCGCTTTTTTGAAGTCAAAAGTCTTATATTCTGGACAATCTGAAGAAAATGGGCTGAAGTATTGATCTAGATATCAAGAGATGCCAATTCCTGACTAACTTTTGATCCTGTATGGTTTTGCTTTTTGTCAAATGAATGGCAAAACCTTGTACCTCACTGTTTATTTGTTTTTGGTTGACAGCTAAAGGTGGAGACAAAAACTTAATCGTTGTTTTCTTTTTTACTTTGTTGCGCTTAAATCTTGTTAGGTGGGAATTGTTTTGCTGGTGAAAAATTCGAGCTTCTAGCACCAACGACCCGCAGAAATGCATTTAGAGTGCTTCGTGCCATGCAGCTTGCAAAACCTGGTACACTTTGTTGAATAAGGGAATTGTTGTTCCCTTTTGTTTATGTATATACACATGCCATATTTGCTGCCACTTTGAAACTCATTCAAAGAAATCCACTGGCCTATGAAGTTCTCTGACTTTGTAATTTCCCTATCTCTAGTTCTGTTGGAAGGGAGCCCTGGTGTTGGAAAAACAAGTCTTATTGTGGCCCTTGGCAAATTTTCTGGGCACACAGTAGTACGAATAAATTTATCAGAGCAGGTGATTAAATCTTTTGGGTTACGACCTCATATTTTTGGTAGTTCTTTTCAAATGTTGAAGTATCTCTGGCGTAATTATGTATTTTTACGGGGTTTGGACATTGACATACACAGACGGACATCATGGACTTGTTTGGGTCTGATTTGCCTGTTGAGGCTGATGAAGGGATGCAATTTGCATGGTCTGATGGAATTCTCTTACAGGTATGTTTATATTCCTCCAGTAGAATGGCTTGCTTCTTTCAAATCAAAATAATCTGCATAGATTTGCTGTATTCCAGGCTTTGAAGCAGGGATCATGGGTGCTTTTGGATGAACTCAATCTTGCTTCACAATCTGTCTTGGAGGTGGAAATCTACACTTTTACCTTCATAATGTGTTAACTAAGCAATGCATTTAGTTTCTTCTCAGTTGGAATCCTATTCTCTCGTCTCCCTCACGTAGTTAACCGGGTTTTTTATTTTACAATGATAATAGGGGTTAAATGCTATTTTGGACCATCGAGCTGAGGTTTTCATTCCAGAGTTAGGTCGTACTTTCAAATGCCCACCATCTTTCAGAGTTTTTGCTTGTCAAAATCCTTCAAATCAGGGTGGAGGACGGAAAGGTCTTCCAAAGTCCTTCCTCAACAGATTTATGAAGGTCTGCCTTGACACTGTTTAAAATTGTCACAAGTTCATAAGTTAATGAATGTGTATTAGCCTTTTGCTTGCTGGTTTCAGGTCTATGTCGATGAGCTAGTTGAGGATGACTATCTTGCTATTTCTAGTTCGCTCTATCCAACAATTTCACGTTCTCTTCTCTCTAAGCTGGTCTTATTTAATAAGAGATTACATGAAGAGATAATGTTGCTTCACAAATTCGCTCAAGAAGGATCCCCTTGGGAGTTCAATCTCCGAGATGTAATTCGTTCCTGTGAAATCATAAAAGGTCTGTTCTCTTGTTCTTGATAGCCCATTCTCATTTCAGTCATACAGAATTGACCTCAAATACATGAATTCCCTTTTCAGGTGCCCCCAGTATATCAAAATCTGATTGCTTTCTGAATCCTGTTTATGTTCAAAGAATGCGCACAGCTGTTGATAGGCTGGAGGTCTTAAAACTTTATGAACAGGTATTCAAAATGAAGCCCAGCATAAATCCTCATCCTCGGGTTCAGCTGAATCCCCAGTATTTGATTGTTGGGAATGTATCTATTGAACGAAATCGTTACGTGTCACCTGGAGTGGCCAACAGCGAGCTTAAAATTTTACCTGGCTTCCGCAACAGTTTGGAAGCTGTAGCACAATGTGTTAAGAACCAGTGGCTATGCATATTAGTTGGACCTGCATCCTCCGGTAAAACTTCATTGATACGGTTACTTGCTCAGCTGACAGGAAATGTACTTAATGAATTGAATCTTTCCTCTGCAACTGATATATCTGAGCTACTTGGAAGCTTTGAGCAACACAATGCTGTTCGAAAATATCGTCTTGCCATCGCTCGGGTTGAGTCCTTTATAAATGAATACTATGGTCTGCAGCTGGAATCTTCATGCGAAGAATTTATGAGGAGAAAAGACCTGTTTATTCTGTGGCTGTCCTTTATATCGAGCATCAAGCACAACCCTCCGACAAGTTCTTGCTCTTCGTATGTTGATACTTGGAGGACGAAGTACTTTGAATCTGCTTCTATGTTGGTTAATATTATTGAGCATCTAAAGTTGGTGGTTGAGGAAACATCATTGCCTTTATCTTGGTCGATGAAGGACTTGGATATAATTCTTACAATGATTAAGAAATTTACAGGTCACCCAAGAACACATTCCTCAAAGTTCGAGTGGGTAACTGGCATGCTTATAAAGGCTATAGAAAACGGAGAGTGGATAGTATTAGATAATGCAAATCTCTGCAACCCAACGGTTCGTACTCTCTATCTCCCATATCTTCTGATCTTTTATACTTTTCGTTCCTTTTTTTTGCAAGCCCTATAGCCTGTTAAATATTTAAGCTTGAGGTGCTGCGTCTGGTTTCTAATGGTTATTTGGTGCCTCTTCTTGATATGTGCAGGTTCTTGATAGGATAAACTCTTTAGTTGAACAATCTGGATCCATTACTATTAATGAATGTGGAACAGTGGATGGAAAGCCAGTAATTCTTCATCCTCACCCACAGTTTCGAATGTTTCTAACAGTTAACCCTCTAAATGGTGAAGTTTCACGTGCAATGCGAAATAGAGGGGTTGAAATTTTCATGATGGAGCCTGATTGGCTGTTTGATGACAAATGCACTGAAATTGACATCGAGCTTGAGAATGCAAAGAGGTTTATCGTCCTTTCTGGGGTACCTGCTGGTAAGTTGGTTGATTTGATGGCCAATGCCCATATGACTGCGAAGGTTAAAGGTGCACTGCTCAAAATTAGGATCACACTGCTTGAACTTGCACGGTGGGTGCAGTTATTTCAGCAGCTTCTTACGAGCGGTAGCCAGTTTTCATGGAGTCTGCAAACGAGTTGGGAGCACACCTATGTTTCCTTATTTGGTGTTGATCAAGGGAAGAATGTTGTTGATCAAGTGGGAATTCCTATATCTCTTACACCAGATTTTCAGGACTTTAACTCCTCTCAAGCTGGCTTCTTATCTTTACCAGGGGGATGGCCAGCACCCTTGAAATTGAGGGACTACCTATTATATTCAAAAGAAACTTGTATAAGGCAAAATTGCATGTACCTCGAGTTCCTGGGAGCGCAGACTGCCTGTTATTCGACTTCTGCTGCATTGCACGATGCACTGGCTCCAACTTCTGTGGTTAGCTCACTCGTGATGGATACAAAGCTCTTGCATGCACTGATGTTTCCTAAAGGTTCAAGTTGTCAAGTTGCTGTTTGTGGCGGGGCAAAAGAACTTAACTTGGATTTAGCCCAGGAAATGTTAGTGTATGCTGCAAATTGGGCATTTGAACAGGCTACTGAAAGTGATTACAAGCTTTATCTGCTTTGGTTTTCCCATGTTGGTTCTCTGTTACGGCCACATTCTTCATTCTTTAGTTTTTATGCCTCTATTCTGGCAAAGGAATTGGAACATCCAATATGGAATCAGATTTTTAGTCATCGCCGTGAGATTGTGTCTCATAATTTGATTGATATGGAGTCTTGTCCTATACCTTTACTTTCAGTAGAAGTGGTTGATTTAACACCAGCTGACAGTGTGTTGAAATCCTGCAGTGAAGTTCTTGTGAATGCCATTAAGAGTGTTAAGTTACTGAGACTTAGCCATCTGCAGTGGAACTCTGAGATAGGTTACAAATACAGTCCTGAAACAAAGTTCTTTAAACCTGTTTTGAGATCTCTTCAGGAGTTGGAGAACAAAGTGCTTGAAATATTTGTCCAGTCACCTTCTTTTGATGTGCTGTTCCAGTTGTACAGTGACCTCCTTGAACATCACACACTACTATGGACATGCATTATTACTTCTCAACTGGAGTACTTGCTTATTTCTTGGAGATCTTTGATGAAGAAAGTTACAAAGTTGTGGGAATTTTGCCCAAAAGAAGTAGAGACGTTTCAGGTAAGTTGTCTTGGTTTAGCTAGTCACTTTTGGCCCTCTTTGCTATGCCCAATTCTTAATTTATTTGTTTCTTTGTTCTCCTTTTGTTATGTGATAACAAATTTTCACTTTGTTTCAACCTCTACTTATGTAGAGAGATGTAGAGAATTTGGATGAGTTCTCAAAATGGCCTTCACAGTCGCAAAAGTCCTTGTTGTGGGTCCATGGTGGGCATCCATATCTGCCTCCTTCTGCTGAATTATATGAGAAATTGTGTCAGCTACTAAGCTTTTGTGAACGACTTTGGCCAGGAAAGAGAAAGATCTGGGAGCTAGGTAGCTTTTCTTTGATCATTTGGCTACAATTTCTGCACTACTTTCTAGTTCTCTGTCTGACTCACATATTTTTGTAGCAAGGGATGATGTAATCATTGAAGCGGCTCCATATTCTAATCCAGAACTACGGTTCCTCGCCATGCAAGGTACAGTTATTATAATTTGGTACTGTTGCTATCCCGTGTCCTGTGGTCATTACATTGCCTCCCATTTGTGCTGTGTACAAGGGTGAAGTGGGTTTCCAGTATTCCTATTGCTTGATTGTCTTGTCAAAGTTCCTTTCTTATTTTCTTCTGGTGGTACATGATTGAATCAGTCATTGAAGTAACAAGATAATGATCTAGTGGTAGTGTGGTTGGTTGGTTAGTCGTATGTAGTTGTGGCTCATAGCAGTTAGTAATTTGGCTTGGTTTTAAGTTAGCAGAAAGATAGTCTGCTGTTTTTAAGAGGGTTTAAGTTAGAAATTTTAATGTTGTCTGCTGTGTATTTGAAGCGTTGAACTTTTTGTTGCAGACCTAAAATAATTAAATAAATGTGTCTTCTCTCTAATAGGTTAAGCTTTTAAATCACACATTTCAATATGGTATCAAGGTAGACAGAATCTTGGAATTAATGCAGACTTGGCTAAAGATAGAGCACAATTGAAGAAAAAGATTCATATAGAGCACAATCTACTAGTTGGGATCACGTTTTAGTCTTATTAAAGAACTTCTAATATTAGTCCATTTCAAAAGAACTTCTAATAATATTTTTATTACTAATACTCCAACAACAACAAACAACAAACCCAGTGAAATCCCGCAAGTGGGATCTGGGAGACGCAGTAGTTTACTCGTTTTGAAACAGAGGGAGTATTATTGAGATATATTTAACTTAGTTTTCACTTTTATTTTTATTTGGTATGATGATGACACAACTTGAGCGTAAATGGAGAAGTGAGGAATCATATATCGACTCCAACTTGTTTGGGACTGGGGCGTTATTGTTGTCGTTGTATACCTTTCTCAGCCTTTTGGCTAAGATCAAGAGTAGTAGTTGTTGTTGAATCAAGGTAGACAGAGATCCAGGTTCAAACCTTATTGCCACCCGTTACAATAGAATTTTCACGTGCTTGACCCAAGAAAAAAGATTCAGGCCTGCATTTGAGCGCGTGTTGAGGGCTAAAATTAATAAATAATGTGACCATCTCTTCTAAAATTGATATATGTGTCATGATATAGGTGTTATGTCTGGTGTTGAAGTGATTGTTTTTCAGTTAAGATTGTTACCTTTCGACCATTCTAATCTGTCCTAGCAAATTTTACATCATAATACACTGTACTGTTGGTGATAGTATGTTTTACTTGTTCTGGATCTTTATCTGACTAAATATTATTCTTGGTAAGGTGTCTCTATGTCATCTTATATCATGGCAAAAGTTGATGAAAATGGTGTCAGACCTGTTGAGCAGTTGGAGGAGATGTACCAGGTGTGCTTTTCTTACAATTCCTGTCTTCATGTTCATCATGTGGATTATTTAGTGTTATGATAGGTGTATTCATTACCTATGTAGATGCTTTCAAGAAGGTTTGATTTTGAGAAAGAGAAGTTGGAAGAGAATTTGAGGAACATTAAGCAAGCCCCAAGGACCTCCATTTTACCTGCTTGTTGTGTCTTTTTACCCAACATGTTGTGTGAAAGGTCTAGCTTTGGTTGTTGGCTAGAGACTCTACCCATAGCTGACAACGCTAGTTTCTTCCATGATACAAGGCTACTTCAGCAACTTTCGACAATTGCTTTAGCTGATGAGGAGGAACAATACCAAGTAAGATTTTCTTTTCTTTCTTAACTATATCAAGTACAATTTTTCATTGCTGCTCCTCTAACTACCCCGAGATACATTCATGTGATGCACCCTTAATATCGTATTATCTTGTCCACTGAAACAGGGTTTAACTGCCTTGGCTGGCCTTATCGAGTCCGCAATGACCTTTTCTTTAAACTTCTCATCAAGGCCTTCATCTGACTTTTCACCTCACCAAAAAATTTTGTGGACCCTAGATGCTTGGGAATCTATCTATAGAGGTCGGTAAAATCTTTATAAATTGGCCATTACATTGTTATGATATCTAAATAATTCCTTTTATCTGTTTCAAACAGTGAGTGAACAGATCTCCAGTTTTGTTCTTGAGCTGTGGTATATATGGCATTCATCTTTGTGGATGTTGTCACCAACTGGTGCTGAGGTAAACCATATGATGGCTATTTACTGCAAATAGTTTTGCATCTTCCAGTATGACATCTCTATTTATGTTGTTCCGCTGCTGCAGAACCTCTCATGGCATGGATGTGATGATATCCTACCTGATGAGCTGTTTAAGCCTTCAAAAATGGCAGCAATTCACAAAATCCTGTAAGTTAAATATTGTTTGGTTTTGAGTAGTGGTAGGGGCAGCAATTTGGCTTGGATGGGCCACATTTTTATACCAGTTGCCAACTAAGTGCTGAACTTAATACACATGAGAGATAAAGATACAAAGGGGGAGAGAGTGAGAAGTGAGAAGTCTCAGTTTACATATTTAACATGCTTGTCCTAGGTGAAGTTGGTGATACGTTATTTAGAGCCCGTTTGGATTGGCTTAAAAAAATTGCTTTTAAGCACAAGTGCTTAAAAGTAACTTTTAAGTGCTGGAGCTTGTTTTATAAATAAGCAGTTACCTGTTTGAATAAAAGTGCTGAAACTTAAAAAATGTTATTGAAGTGTTTGGTAAATCAGTGCTGGTAAGCACTTTTTTCTGTTAAAAAGACAAAAATATCGCATAAAAACAAATCAAAAACCTACATCTTCCTCTTGCTTACCAAACAAAGACGAAATCAAAGGACATGGTCATATATTTGAAAAATGGAAATAGACTACTGCCCATTACGATATGGACATTGAAACTTTATGTAAAAATTACAGAAGCAGATTCCTCCTCCAAATGTTGAGGAAAAGGGTATTTGTATTTTAATGTTATGTTAAAAAAATAAAAGGAGCATTTATAATAGGAAAATAGAAGTGTAGAAAAGCATGAATATCACATAGGAAAGGTGAACGTGTGGGTGAGAAGAAGAGGAAAGAAGATGAACAGAAAGTGAGTAGTTGGATGTTTTAGGATTTATTTGATGAGGGTAGTTTTGGGATTAGAAAAAGTTATAAGGGACAAGTAAGTAATTTCGTTGGTCAAAATAAGATGGCTTTTAAGCCAAAAACGGAGAAGTTAGGATATCCTAACTTGTGGCTTTTAGCTTTTTTTAAGCCATTTTAAACTTTTTTTAAGCTGTTTTTTATTTTGCCACACACTCCAGTTACCTAAAAATGGCTTAAAAGCTTGGTTTGACCAGCTTTTAAGCCAATCCAAACAGGCTCTTAATCATATCTTATACATTCTGGAGATTGTTTTCTATTTTAGTTCGTGTGTTTGACGAGCCATTTAGGTTAAGAAATAAAAAGACTTTAGGCACATACAAAAAGTACCCTTAGAACTTATAGTCTTAAAACATGCATGACATTTCGTCGGTCATAAAAGTTTCTCTTTTAGAATAGAACGGAAAGTTCAAATTTTAAAAGTTTCCTGATATAGAAAGGTTTCATCTTTTTTTTGGAACAAACTAAAAAAAGTGTCCTATATAGTTGAAAACAGAATACTTTTTATTTGAAAGACTTCACCGCTGTTTCTTTTTCCTTCAAAGTTGAATCTTCTTATTTACTTCTTATTTCAAAACTTTTTATCAAGCGCAGGTATGGTACATTTGCTATCAGGGATTACCCGATGCATAGCCTTAAAATGAAAGCTGCTTCGCGTTATCTTTGGCAAGGTTCTCTAGAAGTAGATACAAAGAATTTTCTATTATCAACTGCTAGGTCACTCTTCCAGCAGGTATGGTCTCCTTTAATTTTACTTAAATTAATTATTTTCTTTATCAAAAAATGGTCTCCTTTAGTTTTAATGTGTACTCTTCTTCAAATTCATGGTGAAATGAAAATTTATAGTGTATACTTCCTGCTGGTTGTTCTTTCAGATGATATTTGCACACAGAAAGTCTTTCGAAGCTGAGAAGTTTGCTAGAATCAACGCTTTCTTTCATTTTGCTACACAGAAGACCATCTCGGTAGTTCTTTTCCTTTTGACCCGTTAAATGTATATGGACAGGCAGGATAATTTTAGAATATGTTATTTGACCCATGTCATATTTTTCTTCCATAGCTGCTATCCTATGAGATAAGGAACTAAAGGTCATTTTTCTTGGTGTTTGAAATAAAGTTCTTGTAACTGAACTCGGAAAGTTGGTTTCCGATTAAACCTTGAAATCTGGGATACTTATTTATTTTAATTATAAACCCTTAGTATGTTCATAACCACTTTTCCTTTCCATGTCATAGCAAGAGGATGTTCAGGTCATGCTTTCACTTCTTGCATCATCAAATCACCAGATGATTTCGTCTGATAAGATGAAATCTTTTATTGAGCCTCTGCTTCGAGGATTGTATCTCCCATGCTCATCTGAGGGTGAGTGCGTTATATTTGTCTTGTCCGAGAGTTTCATTCACTTATTAGTCATGTCTTCTGTTTTTGTTTTGGGTCTTTATTCTTATTTTTGTTTTCCCCTGTTTCTCTTGCAGGCTTCATGAATAGGATAGGATGTGTATGGTTGCTGATTGGGGCCCTCCGCTACCAGCTTCTGATTTGCTGCACTGATCTGGATCCAACTGCAAAATACTGCTTAAAGTACTCAAGAGTAATGGAAAAGATATCCTCTCTTCAGCTTGAAACTCAGGTAAGGGATATCTTCTCTTCAGCTTGAAGCTCAGGGATCCATCCTTATTTCTCTGTTCTGGAGCTGTCTACATGTACTCTACCCTAATTTATCATTCTTCCTGTATGCTTGTTTAACAATATGATAAAGGAATAGAGGATGAGTGTAGGATAATCAGATGCTTTGATATGCGTGACATCCATTGAAATTAGTTTTCTATTTACTAGAGTTTTCACAAGATGCACTGGAGAGTTAAACAAGCATACAGGTAGAATGATAAATCTAGATGCATACATACTCGACTTCCTAGACAGTTTACATGTTTAGAGGAGATGGGTATGTAGTTGCACTCTCAATTGATATTAGCAGCCTGGGACTCGATTCTTTCCAAGAAAGAATGTAATGCAAATTACTATATGTTTGAAACAACCACATCATACCCCTAACTGAATCAACTTTCCATTATATTTGATTGGTTACATACTCACCTCTCAATTACCTATAAACCTAAACTAGGATTTTTGGAGCAGTGTAAACACTGTTTTCAGGAGCCCAACAACAACACATTGAATGAGAATAAAGAGTTAAAAACACCACCTTTCCCCTTTAATGTATTATGTTAACTTTAACCAGTTTGCTTCACCTTGCACCTTTTTTTTTGGTTTTGGGGGTGGGGGGGTGGGGAGGGGGGGGGGGGTTAAGGAAGTAAAATATTTTATTTTACCAAAAACAAAAACCAGCTTTTCACCTTAGTTTTCAAAGGGTGCGCAAAAACCATTTCGTGGTCAACACTCAACTAGGTTTTGCAAAATGTAGTAATGGAGTTGGTACAGTGGAACAGTAGAGGACTAAAATGATGGATAATGAAATTGCTAAACCGTCATCTGAAAGAGTGTTGAGGTGTCTTTCTGGCTTAATAATTGAAGCGGGGAAATTATATGGGTGCAATACATTCTAAAAATAGTATGCCTGTATTCACTGTCTATATTTTATTGTTTCCACATTCCAGGTACGCAGTGATTGTGTCCATTTGGCTGGATCTTTTCAGTTGAGGGAACAAGATAGAGATAGATCTATGTTGTTGGAAGATCTCCATGCTGAGCAAAAGAAACTGCAAAGAAAGGTCAGGGACTCCCTTAATTGTTTCTTTCGTTCTTAGATTGGTTGTGGATTTATTCTCCACTTTATAGTTGTTGTAAATCTGTGAACAATTGTTATGTGAAGTGCTTATCAACTTACAACTTTCCATTCATCTTCTGTCTACAATAAATTAAGTATTTGGCAACAGATAAAGGCGAAAAAGGGCTAAAATGAGTAACCTGTCCCTGCCTACTCCTTGTCCTTGTTCCTTAATTTACACTGTTTGGTGACCGGGACTGCATTCAGTGGTCGTAAAAGTTAACAATGTGCTGTAGCTTCAAAATCTTTTTTCTTAATAACTGTGGTGTCCGGGCTAGCTTGCTCGCACCTCGACTAATTCCACGGGATACTTGCTACCTCCCACCAGCATCAACTACCAGGTAAATCTGTCAACCCGTTCTTGAAAATTTGAAATCAATGTAGGATATTCTCAAGCCCCCTCACGCCCAGATATAGACTTCTGAAGCATGGACAACATAAGATAGGGATCCAACATTAGGTAAACCAAGCACAAAGATGGGTTTGGCTTTGGTACCAGTTAAAAAAATGGATCTTGTGCCTTTTTTCAATATTAAAAGCTTTCAAAAGAAAAGCTAGCTCCTGAGGTAAGAATTTTCCAAGACCATATAAAGTCACAACGGGCATTCCCTCAGCCAATGCGGGGCACACATATAGAGTTATACATTTATTCTTTTTCTGTTGGTTGTTCTGAAGTTTATTTATATGAGCAAGTAGTTCTAGTTAATCTTTATCATTTCTTGGAAATATGATTTTCTTGATTTATTCATGACTGATGAATTTGGTGCGTCTTCTATCAGATTGTTTTCCGCTCTGAACCTGAGAAATTCAAGGAAATGAAGGCAGGTTGCGACGATTTCTTTAGGACGGTTGTCAAAATAGTTATGACTACTGTTGGTTGGACACAGAGTTTTAAAAACTTAAGTGTGGAAGAGATGTCTGGCGAAATACGCAACTGGCAGGTAATGCTTGCTCCTCATGTGGATAATTGTCTGTTGTTCTCTATTTCTTTAGATATGTTTCCTACATAATGAACCCTAGGATGAGGCTGAGTTGGAAAAGCAATTTATTAGTACAATGTCATACATTAAATTCATATTGCAGGAGATGGCTACAGAGATCATAAAGAGGTTATCAAATGAATATTCTGCATACATGGATGTAGTTCAGCCAGTCCAGACAGCTATATATGAAATGAAATTGGGATTGTCTCTGGTTCTTTCTGGTGCCTTAAGTGAAAGGTATCTGGAGGAACTAGGAAAGTTTGATATGGAATCTGTTCTGGTATTGTCTTCCATTTCTTTTTATTTATTTTTGATAAGTGTCTTCAATCGTTTTCGTGGACCTTCATTTTCATATATATGTTTTTTACTTTTTCTGCAATGGTGGAAAGGCTTCTGTTTATGCCTTTGTGAGATACCCAAGAGGATGTGCTGCAAAAGCTGTTTCTTTCAATGCTGACAATAAGTGCACTGAGCTTTTGCGCTATGATATTGAACTTCCAACAAACATCTCAGCCCTGGATTTAGATATGCTGGATAATCTTGTCAATTATCAACGGAAAGTCAGTATTGATAGCAAGGTTTGCGACTCTTTTTTATTCTTATGATTGAGTAGTGTAAGAAATCCTCAAGTGTGTCTTAACAATAGACATAATATTGTAATGCCTTGCTCTTTTGGATTCTCATTCTTTGCTCATTGAGTTTCACACTGGTGTTCAATGTTGACAGGTGTCGTCCTTGCAACTGAGAACTGCAATGCATCAGACTGTTCTGGTTCGCGTGTTGCATTCTGTTGTGGATGCCCACTTCATGGATAAACAGTCCTTTAAGGTGAGAACGCTGTTACTGATTGTTGGATGTATGTACCGTTTATTATTTATCCCACATTAATATGAAGAAAATTTTATATTCTTTTCAGCTAACGGATAGGATATTTGATGAGTTAGCAAGAAACTGGATGCAAATGAAACTTCAAGTCAGAACAACCGAAGAGAATAAAACTCAACAATTTAGGTTCAAACCGCGTGCATTCAAGATAGATAATATCCTTGAGATTGACATATCATCTCTTGGTAGTTCAGCTTCAAATGAAAGTTTCTTAGAATGGAAAGAGTTCCACTCTAGTCAAGAATCTTCAGAGAAAGTAAGCATACTCTGTTTTGTAGCTGTTTTCTTTCTTTTAGGCATCTAGTCATGGGGTCGTTGCCTTTGTGTATCTCTTTCCATTTGATTATCAGTCTAATGTATCTCTATCCATATAGCAGAATGCTGACGAAGAATCAGAAGCGGTCATGGACGATTGGAACTATGTAGAAGAGTCCAGTTTGAATGATATGATCCGCGTTCACAATGAATTATTTGGCTCAACTGATATATATCAATCTGTAAGTATGCAATGCTACTTGTATGGATCTTCTTTGTATGTATTAGAGGGAAGATTTAAGCTGGACAAAGTTTGTCTTTGGAACATTTAAATATTAGTTTGCTACCACTTTGGTGGCATTTAGAAATTAAATTCTAAGCCATCCACCACAGGTGCAATAGACTGCCTCTTTAGGTGGCGCTAGCATTTACGAAGGAAAGAAAAAAAATATTAGTTTGCTGAGGAGCTAGAGTTCATTGGGTGTATTTTTATGTGGAGGCGGAATCATTTCATTTTCTGAGACATGTTTAGGTTCTGATTCCTTGATGAGGTATCTTTCTTCAGGCATGTAGTCAACTTACCTGTCTGAGATAATTAGTGCCTTTTGATTTATTGGTACTCCTACATATTAGTCTTAATATCAATTTTTAATGCATGAGCTGTATTGAGATGGGTACCTGCACATCAATATCATATAATAATTGTTTCCCACTTTCTTTTATGGTATGTTATATAGCTATTCGGAGGTACAGTGGAGGTATGGTTTAACTAGGGGGTAGTCAATAAGTGTACTGTGCTTGTATGATGAACATAATATATGGTTCTTATCTCTCTCAGTGCGAGGAATTATTTTATGAATCCAAGATGATACTATTTATCTGCTAACATTTCAATGTTACATTTGTATGAAAGCTATCAAACTCTCAGATGTATAGCTGGTTGATAAATTGCTAATGTTGTACAGAATTCACTTTATTGTCATGCGTGGAGTGAATGTTCATGCGAGGAGTTAATCTTATGTCTTATACCTATTCTCTATCTACCGACATTAAGCTTTTCCTATGTGAAAAAACTTAGATTGTTTGTTTCAGTTGTCCAAAACATTTGGAATAGATAGGGCTCATGTTTCCTGTCCCATAGACCTGAATTATTAAGCTAGATGAAGTTTAATGAATACCTGTTCCTTCCTGTTTATCTTATTTCAGCCTAACTCGCTATGTGCTAAGTTTTAGTCTCTGAACTTCCTTATGGGGCATGACATTAATTATTTGGATATTTCTGTCTCAGATGTAAAAGTTCTTTAGTAATGAACACCCTTAGAAGTGGATACACTTGTGTTTGTAAAATGCCATTCTTTGTTTTTGTTTCTCCGTATACATTATATACTCAGGATGAGTTGTTGGTAGCATAACATACGTTCTCTCTCTTTCTCACTCTGATATATATATATATATATTTGTGTTTAAATACTGATCATGGTGCTTGAATTCAGCCTGGATATTTCCATGTATCTGATGCGAGCAGATTGTCTTCCTTTACTGACTCTTACTTGCTGGGAACAAAAATGATTAGAGGTAAAGACCTGGGCAACAATTATTCTGTATGCTTTGATTTTCGTTGTTACTATGGGAAAATTGTCTGAGCTCTGTGCCGTATGCTTGCAGAAATAGAAGGTTTATCATCCTCCTGTTTGGACGCAAAGATTGCGCCGGAACACTTACTTCGCCTATGCTTAGAGCATGAAACAAAGTTTTGTTCACCAAATAAGTCAGCCCTAGCATACAATTTTTACAAGGTTTTGATTGTTAATATCATACTTTCTTAAAATTGCTTCTGCTTCTTTCTCTTTTGGTATGCCTTATCAAGACATTCATTTCAATAAATTTCTTCTGAATGATGTGTCAGGAACCAAATTTCTCTATGTTGGCTAAAATGGTGGATCCATTAGCATCTCTTAAACAGCGAATTACTCTACTTTTGAAAGAACGTGATGAATATGCTCTTCAGAGAATCTTGGATATAATTGAAATGATCTTGGCTATGCCTCTTAGCACCCCATTGGCTAAGGTAGTGTATCGTACTATCATTTTTTAGTTGTGGAGAATGGTTTTTCATATTAAGGTGGAGGAAAAAATTGATATTTTCATTTTCTCTCTCTCTCTCTCTGCCATCTCCCCTGTCATTCTCTTTTCTTTTTGGGGGATTGTGAGGTGATGGTGTCGTGATGTTTATCTTTTACTTGTGTGCTCATGATGGCTTCTTTCCTTTTCTTTGAAGGCGCTCTCCAGCATAGAGTTTCTTCTTAGCAGAGTTCGGATGTTACAGGAAACTGTAGCAAAATTTCCATTATCTGGTAATTTACAGAACTTTTTCTGGATGATCATCTGATAACGTTAAATCTTACATTAGCTTATCCCTCACTGTAATCTTTTCCGCCTATTGAAAAATGTCTGCTCCCGTAGATCATTTGGACCCCATATTTGCTCTGGTGTCCTCGTGGTATAAGTTGGAGTTCGAATCTTGGCCTGCTCTGCTTGATGAAGTTGAAGATCAGTTTGAGAAGAACGCCGGAAAGGTAAACTTATTTGTCAATTTCTTGCTTGCTTGTTAGCTCAACCCGCCTCCCTGCATGCATGATCTCTGCTCTTTCTTGTGGCTCTCTTTCTGAAAGACTTCAGAGCACTTAAACTGCTGGTATGAAATGTTGCTAGCAAACCAAAAGCTTGTTGTCACAACTATGCAGAGAAAGTCATAATAATGCTGTGATCTGTGAGTCCAGTGACAATTATGTTACCCTTTCAAGTTGAAAAAATCTTGAAGGCAATCATGAAGTCTGATGATGTCCACAGTGTATTGTTTTTAACTCAGGTCTGCCAGACTAACAATGCATATAACCAAAACAATTCACCTCCACGGTTTGTATCCAAACTTCAGTATGAGCTTCTGATCAAAATAAATCTAATGATAGAATTTGCATGGACTTATAGGTAGTGACATGTTGTGGACACTCTCCTGAATTTGAATTCTACCATAAGGTCTAAATTAGAGCCGTCAAAATGGGCTTGGCCCGTGAGGCCAGCCCAACCCAGTCTGCTACTTGGGTAGGGTTGGGTTGGGATTTTTTTAACCCATTTAAAACTGAGGCGTATAAGCCCGGCCCAAGTCAGCCCGCTGGACCTTGAGGCTTGATCGAGGCTGGCCTAGGCCGGCCCGTTAGCCAAAATTAATTAAATTTATATTTAAATATTTAATATTTAAAAACAGTAAAAACTAAAAGAAGTATTAACTATAATCCTTATTCCGCAAACTTAGATTGCTCATTTACCCTTCCATATCAACTAGAATTTAGATGTTTGATATGCATGTAGTATGACAAGATTAATTTTTCTTTTGTCTACTTAACAACGAACTAGGAAAATTTTAAGTCGCCAATAATATTTTTTTTCAAAAGAAATTTACTTTAAGTGTCCAATTATCAGTTTGGTTACTTTAATATATTATTAATAATTAAATTGTTCTTCAGTATAGAAAAAGGTCAAGTTTTAATACCCAAAGGAAATTGACAACACTAGCAAATTTCATGAATTTTTAAAACTTTATGGACTATAATGATGAAATTAGCAAATGATGTTAAACCTAAATTAAAAAACCTCAACATATAAACTTATTAAATCCCTCAAAGGCATTTCCTGGACCATGCCTGCGAAGGTTATAGATACTCTTAAAAGTTGGGAGGAAACAGGATTACAGGCAAAGGACAGGAACAGATGGAGAATTATACCTGCTTGCATTTGGTGGACAATTTGGAAAGAGAGAAACTCCGGATGTTTTGAGAATGTAGAGAATGGAGTGCAGAAGATCAAGTTAAACTTTATTTTGCTGTTGTGTTTTTGGGGTAATCAGATCTACACAAATGATACTGACACCATTATTGATGTTTTAGATTCAATATAGAGAGTGTCAGTGATAGTTAGAGTCTCTTGTATATATATGGTTTCAGTACTACCTAAGTACTGTTTTGCTACATATGAAATATAGAAAAAGTTACCAGTTTCAAAAAAAAAAATCCCTGAACCTTAGGAAAGTGAAAGAAAAGTATTAAAAATTATTCATGTAAAGTTAAAAAAGAAAAGCTAGAGATATAGAGAATTTGCATTTTCAATTATGAGATTCCTTGTCAAATATCAAGATTCTTGTACGCTCTAAACTAACAAAACTCGTTCATATGATTAAGAGACTATGTCACTAAGAAATATTTAAAAATTTGAAGAAATTTGTTTTCTAAAAATATTGAAGGGCCGGCCCGCCCTAGCCCGCGGCCCTCTTAGGGCTGGGTTGGGCTGGCCATTATAAGGCCCATTTAGATGCAGGCCGGGCGGCCCTAGCCCACCAAATTTAAAAGGCCGCGAGGCTTTGGCTGGAGTGGCCCATTTTGACAGCTCTAGGTCTAATATTAAAGTAGCCAAAACTATTTTCTTGGATGGATGAGGTAACAATCAATGCAATAAAATTCCATATGTTGTAGTCATATGATTTAAGTTATGAATGAAATTCGTTGCCACTTATTTCAATCTCTATGACCATTATCTGCTAGTCATGTCAAAGATGTGACGGTAAGTTGCACCCTTCAGAAGGGTTAAGTGTCAACCACGAGACTAGTTTTTTACACTGATCTTAAATTGTGATCTGCATTCTTTGATAATTAGGAGTTGGGAATTTCAACAATTTTATGTGGCAAAAGTCGAGTGCCATCACATAATCAGAATTCTTCACAAAAAAAAGGTGGAAGGAAATGGTTTTCCGAGGGATTTCTGTGCCAAGTAGATGATAATCACCACCAGTGGCGGACCCAGAATTTTATATAAGCGGGTTCAAATTAACACGACAATAGTAGATATAAAATCAACATTAGGCATAGCAAGCAAGATAGCTACTTTTTCTTTTCTTTTCATTCTCCACCTCAAAATGAAGTCACATTTTTAAGTCGACGCTCTTTCATTTTCTCAACAAAACAATTGTAGAATCTATTTAAATTTATCATTAGGATAATTGATTTACTTAGTTTGACAAATTTTGCTTTAAAATTTTTAAGCTTGGTTACAAATTAAAAGTATATTAAACTCTGCAGCATATAACAAAATGTGAATTCCTTTCCTTGTTACATAACAAAGACAATTGTTTTTACTAGAAAAAAAAATCGTAACTTGAGAGTTGTGAAATAAACTAAATTAATACAAATTATTGGATAAAGGAACTTATAAGCCAAATAATAATAATAATAAAGACAATATAGAAAAAATAAACGTTTCAATATAGACCAAACTAAAGTAAACTAGTAAATTATTTGAACAAATATTCTTGCATGTTTTACTGGAAATCAGTGAGAGAAAAACAAATTAACTTTGAATTAATTTTTTAGTACTTGAAGAAAATAAGCTGTGTGCCATTCAACAATAACACCAAAAACAATCCAAAAGAGAGGAAAAAAGTGTCGCTAAAGGATCAAACACTGAACCTTCCGGTAAAATTGTACCCACTTGACCATCACAGCACAACGACTTTGATGTCAAAGCGGGGTCAGTTTTATTTATATCTGAAAAGTTGTTCAGTTTTAGATGACATTTATATCTATACGCGGTATAATTTTTCGACTAAGCGGGTTCATATGAACCCTCATGACACCATGTGGGTCC